GCTGGGCTAGCCGCTGACTCTTCGGCGCCACTCGCGCGCCCCGCCGCGACGGCCCACGCGTCGTCGGCGGCTCCCCGTGCCGCGACGGCCCACGTGTCGTCGGCGGCGGCGGGTTACGCCGCGATGGCCCACGCGTCGCCGGCGGCCACCCCGAGCCGCGACGGCCCGCGCGTCGTCGGCGGAGGCGGGCTTCCGTGCGCCCGTGGCGTGCGCAGGGGGCGTCGGTCACCTCCGTCCTCCTGGGGCCTTGCCCCCCTCCCCCCCCAAAAAAAACGTTTGCGGTGTACACGTGCGCTGTGGTGTATCCACGCGTGGCGGTGCACGCGAATATCGTGGTGTACACATGCGTTGTGTTGCATATGGCTGCTGCGGTGTTACACATTCGCTGTGTTGTACACCGGCGTTGCGGTGCACGCAAGCACCGTGGTGTACACAGGCGCTGCGTCGTACACGGCTGTTGCGGTGTATGCAGGCGCTGTGGTGTCTCCGCGCGTTGTGATGCACGCGAGCATCGTGGTGTACACATGCGTTGTGTTGCACATGGCTGCTGCGGTGTTACACATTCGCTGTGGTGTACGCCTGCGTTGTGGTGCGCGCAAGCACCGTGGTGTACACAGGCGCTGCGTCGCACACGGCTGTTGCGGTATACGCAGACGCTGTGGTGTACACGCGCGCTGTGGTGCACGTGAGCACTGTGGTGTACACAGGCGCAGTGGGGCAGGGCGCCACCTACATGATGCTCGCGTCGTTGTCGTCGTCGTCGTCGTTCGTCGCTTGTGGCTCATCGCCGTCGTGCGCGCGGGCGCGATTGTGGTGCCCGAGCCGCACGGCGGGGGGGAGGGGGGGCGTTACATGATAACCCTCCGTGGCCCCCCTGCTTGTAATGCCCATCGTCGCTGAAAATAAGAAGCGCGCTCTTAGGTCAGGGCATCTGCGAGCGGAAGTTTTGCGAGGATGTCTCATGCTAGATGGGTTTCCGAACGGGAGGCCCTCGACTTGTCTTGCCCACGGCTGCCGCTCGATACATCATCGATGTTCTGATGTTGCCCAGGGCTCTCGCGTGGGACGTCCAGGCATGTCTTATATTGGAGGGGTTGTTGTGTGGGGGGTTGTCCAGATTGTTGTTGATACTTTGGTACCCCACAAGACATAGTTGGTCGGGCCATCCAGAAAGCGTCGTCAAAAGGTTGGGCTTTTCTGTTGGGGTAGTCAGCATGCTATTATCATCGTTTGCGCAGGCGTCGTGCATGTTCGAGCGTTTCCGCGCCCGTGCGTGCACATGAGCAGTGACAGTTACCCGCCGTCACCGATATTGTTCAGCCGATTGCAACCGTGACAAAAACGATCTTGGAAATTATCCTGTGGGTCAGGAGTTTTTCATTTGATGAGTTCGCGGGGTGCCTCCTCAGGGGCCATCTTCAGGAACAGGTGACGGGGAAAATGGGAAGGGGCAGAAGAGGAAGGGCACAATTATCGGATGTCCTTCGGCCAATCCCGCCCAGTGGGGCTTCTTGGGGCCTCCTGGGCGCCTCTTGGGGCCTCGTGGGGACCTCTTCGGGCGGAAGGCTTGGATTTTCGGTTCGTGTTCCCTCTCTTGGAACATTCTTAGGGCCGTGTTGGGGCCAAGTTGGGCCGTTTTGGGCGCTGCGGCGCTATTGGGTTGTTTTGGGGTCATCTTGGAAGCCTCTGGGGCCGATTTGGGATGGTTTGGGGGGTTTTGGGCCGGGTCGGAGCGTCGGAAGGCCGACCAGGCGAGAGAACGCGAAATTCTTGGAACAACCCAAGGGACATCCTTGATTTTTGTTCTCCCAGGGCCCTCTTGGTGGGCCTCTTCGAAGCTGTTTGTGGGGGTCTCTCGGGCCGCCTTGGGACAATTTGGGTGCCATCTGGAGCCTCTGTTTTGGACCTCATACGCCTGCGTTGGACCTCGTGCGCTGTCTTTGGGTTTGGAGAGGCTTTGGAGGTCCCGGGAACGCGTCGTTGAGGAGCTCGGCCCCCTTCTCCCCCCCTCCCCGTCAGACCGATTCTTTTGGACCCCAGGCGAGGGGGAAAAGGGGGAGGGGGAAAGCCACATGTCTCACGCGCCTTGTCACCCTCCAGCAATCGGGGGTAGGCGGATCTGGTTTCACGGGTTCTGGTGCACGTGTGTATCCGCCGCCGCGTCTGGGCATGCACGTCCCCCTCCACATCCGAATATTCTCGCAGTGTTCGCGCGCTTCCGCGTCCGTGTCTGCACTTGAGCTTTGACAGTGAGCAGCACCATCCTTGAAGGCCTCGTCTCGTATTTGCTCAGTCTATTGCAATCGTTGACAAAAGCGACTGCGCAGGATTATAATGATACGTTCCAGGATTTCCCGATGTTTCCCAGACATCCAAACGTTCCACACGGGCGGCAGAAACGAGGGCCGTTAGATGCTCTGGAAACATTGGGGCGTATCCTGAGCTAATCGTATCATGACATGGTGTTCGACCTGGATGCTTCTCCGCCCGTCTTCCTCTCGCGTTCCCTCCTGCACTCATTCTCGCCACTCGGCCTCCACGCCCTTGCTTTCGTCCTTGCCTCGCCCGTCGTCAGCCTTCGTCGCTGAGGTGAAATCGGCCGCCGACCGCGTGAACCGTAGTGTCCGCTCAGATTTCCGTTCGTGTTGCATGCGTTGCCGCGGAATGGACAGCCAAATTGTCAACTTGGCGCGCGGAGTGCTCTGGCGCGATCTGGCCACGCGTTCGTGGCCCGACGCGCCCATGGGGCCGCCGCGCAAGGTGCCTTTCGGCGAGTTTGCGTTCTTGGGTTGTCGTTGGCGGTCTCGAAATTGTCCCGTGTGCCTGGCCATTGGAGGTAGGCGAACGGGGGCAAACGGGGATCGAGGAATTGGGGGCTGCGGAGCGTGGGGAGGGGGGCGGGGGACTCTGTTGCACGCAGCTGTTTTCGGCCCCGCCGCTGCGCCTTCCTCGATACACGCCTCGAGGAGGCCTATAATCCTCGATGCTCCTCGAGAGGAAGATGCGGGTGGAGGAGGAACCCCTTTTGGAATCGTTTTGTAAGGCACAGCGTGTTGGGGAGGAGAGGTGGGAAAGAGAAGAGCCAGAGGCCCCGAAGCCCGCGGAGACGACGGTCCTCTCTCTCTCTGGCCCTTCGCCCCCCTCCAAACGGAGGGTGGGGGGAGGCCGCCAGAATGGCAGGGTGGGTTCAGGGCGTCGCTCCTCCCCAGTACGCTGTGCCGCGGCCGCGCTCGAGGAAGCTCCAGCCATCGGGCTCATCAGGACGGCGCCCAGGAGCCGAATGCACAGCGCACTGTCAGCCCACGGCGCGCCAGCGATTGAGCGCTGGGCCGTGGCACCGCCGAGAGGCGGGGGGGGTTGAGGGCAGCCCCGAACCAGGCAGAACGACGGCGGCTGACCACACTTGGCACTCTCGCGCGCCAGGGATCTCGAAGCCGAGCCGCCGCCCCCACGGCACGCCGGCGGGGTGAGTGTTGGGCCGGGGCGCCGCCGTCCAGCGGGGGGGTTCCAATGGCATCTCCGAGCCGATGCAAACCGGAGGCTTGGCATCGCTCGGACGTGTGCATTTTTTCTCGGCGAGAACCATCGAGGACCGTCCTGGACCATCGAGCAAAAAAAATACGCACGAAACCGAAAAATGCACGGATAATGGACGTCAGCGAGAGCCCGTAGATGACCGCCCGAGCTTCCACCAGCGGGCGAAGAGCGCCTCTCAAAAGCGCCGAAAGATAGGGCCCTGTCAGCAGACCTCATTGAGAGCCTCAAGAGTCGTGCACGACAGTCCACCGAAGCTTGGACAACGAGCGGCGCCAAGAACAAACCGGCTTGGGTTGCGGATCGTTCGCCGTTTCGTCGATGTTTTTTTGAACAGCTCCTCGGACCGAGCAGCGCCCATCCAAAGCAAGGCCTCGAACGCCTCCTCGTGGAGAGGCGTGTGGTGGATCACGTCGGTTTCAAGCCAATGCACTCCAGACTGAATCTGGTATAATTCCGAGACAGGAGGGTACGTGCTCTCAGCCGCAAGCGCCTCGGGGCTGACAACAGCGTTGGCCGTACCGTTAGACATGGCGTCAAACACCGCCGCTTCTTCCTGAGAAGTTGTGGCCACACCCGCCAATTCTGAGATCTGCGGTGCGGCAACATGCCCAGCAAAGGTGTTGGCATCATGATTAATCCCCAAGTCGGCCTTCACCTCGATAACATGGGGAGGCAGTTGGGAGGAGAGGCTGGCCACCAACAGAGAGTACACGGCGACGAAGAATTCATCCTCCGTGTCGGAAGTCCCTATGGAGCGATCGGCCGAAGCCGAAACAGACAGGTTCTGCGAGCAATTCTGTAGTGCCCGACTCCTCGTCCGAGGTCGCGAGCGATGTCAGGCTGCGCCTGCGCACGGCGAGCACCGCGCGGCTGTGACCTCACGCAGGGCCGTGCTGGTCGAGCTGGCCGTGGCGCCGCAGGGCTCGGCGCACCTCCTCGGAGGTGGCCCTGCGCGCAGGGAGCCGCGCCGCCCCAGCCACGCGCAGACTGCCCTCGGCGGGCCCGAGGGCGTCCGCCTCTCCAGGACCGGACAACGCACGCGTGAGCTGTGCCGCCTCGTCCACCGAGCTGACGTGGGCGACCCAGGCGCCGTGACGCACCGAGAAGCGGGAAGCCACCCTGCGACGAGGCATCGCTGCGTGCCCGCACCCGCGAGGGGGGGCTGCCGTGAGGGTGTGCAGCGACGAGTGGCGAAACGCCAAGCTCTCCTGAGCCCGACTGGCTCGAGCATGTGTTCCCCGAGGTTCCCGGGTGGGTACGCGTCCACCCTCCCAGGCTATTTCGCTCCTGTCGTCGCCTCCGATAGGCCGCGCAGGAGAGGAAGGCAATGAGTAGCAGGAGGATGAGGAGGAGGAGGAGGAGGAGGAGGAGGGAGCGGGAGGAGGAGGGAATCGGCGGAGGAGGAGGAGGAGGAGGAGGAGGAGGGGAAGACTGCCACGGGCCACGGCTCCCTTGCCCGCGACAGGGGGCTCGAGCCCCGCGCCCGCCCCGACGCGTGTCGCGCGCCCACGCGGGCGCGCGCGCGCGGGGAGGGGGGCCATGCGCTCCGGCCGGGCCGGGGAGGAGGCAGCGCCCCTCAGATCTGGGCAGCTGGACAAACGAAGCGACGGCCGGCTTTCCACCCTGTTCGTCCCCTGGAGGCCGCCTCCTGGCCCCAGGGCCTCCTCTGCTGCTTCTGGGAGGGGAAGGGCCACCGCCCCTGATCGGTGCGATCGGATCGGGTACGGAAAGGATGAGTGCAAGGATGGCCGCATCTCTTTTCCATTTTGGACAGAGCTCGCCGTCGGTGTCATGACGGACGTTTTTCAGAGGGAGGCAAAAGGATGCCTGCCCTGCGGCCGCTGCTGGTTTTGGGCAGCATCTCCTGTTGGTCATCGTATTTTTTTTCCGGGATCCATTGCGGGCGTGCCAAATTGAGATCCCGGCATCGCGAGTAAAAACAGTGACGGCCGGTTTTCCACTGTGCTTGGGCTTTGGAGAACGCTTCCCGGCACCAGGACCATCAAACAGCTACCCAAGATGAAACGTTGGTCCCCGGGAAGAGATCGATATCCTCGTGCCTGAGTCGCGAAACAGTAATGACGTCGGAGGAGACAGCGCAAGCGACGGCGGCGGCAACGACGGCGACGACAGCGGTGACGGCGACGACGACGGCGGCAACGATGTAGCTGTTTGAGGGTCTATTGGCATCCAGAGGCTTCTAGCGCTCGAACCTGTCCCTCGCGACCACCTGCGAAGCCCTCGCGGACCTCCGACACGTTCCCCAATCTGTGCTTGCGCCGAAGGGGTCCTTTCGGAAGCTGAAGGATCGTGCGAAAGTTACCCGCGGATTTTGGTCGCACGCTGGGTTGCCGGGTTCCCGGTTCTGGGTTCCCGGCCGATTTCGGAGGGCGGCGAGGTTCCCGGGTTCTTGGTCGATCTTCTTATCGATCGGTCTCACCGTCGACCTCGTTACCCATTTCTCTATCGATCTCACAATCGATCTCATTATCGATCTCACAAGTGATCTCACTAGAGATCGCATGAGCGATCTAGCGACCGATCTCACTATCGATCTCATTGACTCGATTCCACTCTCGGTCTCACGATCGACCTTACAATCGTCTTCATTATCGATTCCGCTATCGATCTCATTATCGATCTCACAATCGATCTCAAGATCTATAGTATTAATTTTCAAATCATCCACTGATTGGGTTTTACCAGGTATAATTACATTTGTGAGTGCCGTGTATTCGAATCGTGCTTTTCAAATCTGAGTTCATTAATCTCCTTCGTTCTCCCGAGGTCGAGGGCGTCGCTGGTCGCTGAAGCCTGGGCCTCGACTGCGTCGGTCTGAGCCTCATTTTTGATCGATGGTGCCGATGCAAATGAGCTCGACATGGGGCCCTTGGTTATGAGCACTGCCCGTGTCCACGGTGTCGCGGTCATCGGTGATCATACTATCAACATCTTGGCCCTCGCTGCTTGTGGGAATCGTCTGAAGCAGACTCGATTCGTCATGCGTCTGGACGTTAGTGCCCTGTGCCGAGGTGCGGCCATCGACGCACTGGAAGCCGAACTGGTCGTTCTCGTTGGCTGAGGTGTCGTTGCCTTCATTCTCGACGAGCATCGTCTGCTGAGACGTGTTCTCATCGGGAATGCCGATGCTGATATGGATTTGAGCTTTCACACCGTCCATGGTGTTCGATCCAGCGGGACCAGAATTCTGGATGTCGGAGCGTTGTGCACTTCGAAGCTGTGTTCATTGATCTGAGCCTGGATCTGGGCAGTCACGTCCATTCTGGAGTCGATGATGTCGGCGCCTGGATGAGGCCTTCGCGTTGGCGGTAGTGTGAGCAGAGGCGCATCATCGTGGAGACCCACACGTCAGAATCATGTAGTCGCCGCTCACGGCTGCGTCGTTGTCAATGTCTTCGTTGACATTGCAGTTCGCGTGATTGTCGTTTGATCGTCGAGTTTTCGGGTGCTGATAGCGTCGGAACCCTCGACGGTGTAGAGGCTATCATTTTGGGTCTTGCCGCAGGCGTCGCCGACACTGCCCAAGCTGGACGTGAGGATGTGACCTTCTAGCACAACGTAGCCTGCCGCAAGCCCCGTTGGCTTGTCCTCTTGCCGAGAACCGTGTTTCAGCTCTGCCTTCCTTGTGGGCTGCCTCCCAACAACCTTTCAACACAAGTGTGGAGGATGTGGAGAACTGAAGTGCGGTGACAGTCTTGCGCGTGGGGATCGCCACTCGTCTCTCGTCTTCAGCCCATGTGTTGGCATGCATGCGGCGCGGCTGGAGGACGGCTGCGGGACCTCTCTGTCTCTCATTCTTTATGGGCGTGCGATCTTTTTCCGGCGTTCAGAGTGTTACCAGCGGCGCGGATTTGCACAAGTTTCACAGGCGGGTGGACCACGAGAGGTTACCGGCGGAAGACGTGGTGGCCATTGAGTTCCCGCTGCGGTTTGCAGTGGTGGCTTGCGGCCTGTACGCGGGGCCGAGGTGGCTCGCCTGCCAAGGGGCGGCCTCGCGTTCTCTTCTTCTTCGCTGATTGTCCCCTCACGCGCTTGCTGCACCGCCTCCCTGTTCGGATCCCGACGGGCCGCCCGTCCGTCAGGCCTTGAGTCGTCGTGGACGACGTCGGTGGGCAGGCGCTCGGCACCTGCAGGCACGTGGCGCCGCAGCTCGGGCCAGGCGGGCGAGAAGGGTCGTGGACGGCTTCCCCATTCCGAGGCTTGTCTTAAGTCGGGCCTGTCCCTCTACAGGGGGGAATATTCAAACATTGTAAAAAAATCTGGGGACTATGTTTTGAGCATTCTTTCGCAAGTTTGGAATATTTTCTGAGTATGTTCTATTTTTCGTCGAGCATCCCCCTGTAGGGGGACACGCCCGACTTAGGCTGGTGGCCTCGGCTCGCCTCGTCATCCGTTGTGCCAGCGTGCTCCCCGCGCGGCGGAGGCCGCTCCAGTCTCCTCACAGGGCTGCTGCTCGCAGCCTCGGCACCGAAGCACCGGGCACGCGCCTGGGCCGCGAGCGTCGGGGACGCGGGGTGGGGCGGTGGTGAGGATTCCGCGACTGGATTTAGGGAGGATCAGAGCTTCTGCGTTTTCCCGAATTCCCAATTCCAGATCCTGCTCACGTTTCATAAATGCTGTCTGGCTGGTAGTCGAATTGCACCCCCGTGCCCTGCACAGGGCCGAGCAGCCGACAGGCATGCTCGCGTGGTTGCGCTCGCTCAGAGCTCAGGCGCTGCAGTCCTTTTGCCGTTGTCGCCGTGGTGCGGCCACCGGCTTGACTCTTCAGGCGGTCAGCGTGGGCGTCCGTATCGACCTATTGCCCAATCGCGTACTGCGGTTTGGGCCTCACGCGAAAATGGAACGTTCTTTATGCCATCTTCGAGGATGCGATTCGAGGTTTAATTGCCACCTCCGCGCCCTGGACCAAGGCCATCTCGCCAGCGCGAGTTTACGTCATTGCGATAAAAGGGGCCAGGGCTGGATTGGTATTTCCGCGCGTAACATTGTATTGTCTTCTAGGGAAGTGCTGGGTATGTTCAGGATTTCCCCCTCCACGGTTGGTCGTTTGGCTGAGGAGGTGGCCAGGGATGTGTTTGATGTTTGGGATTTAGACGTTGGGACTGGGTCCCTGGGAGTTCCTGAAAGGGTCGGCCCCGTGCCTTGGAGGCCGCTACAGAAGCTGGGCTCTAGGTCTTTGGATGTCTGGTCCAAGGGCCATGCCCGCTCCCCGAGGACCTCGTCCTCGGGCGCTCGCAGGACCCAGCAGCGCCGCGCCTCTTCTGCCATCAGCACTCGGCTTCCAGCGAACGCAAACTGCGTAGCGGCGGGCCAAACACGCTGCTCCGTCCCGGGCTTGACTGCTCCGCCTGGCAGGCTGGCGGACAGCGGTCTGTTCCTCCAGAGCTTCGCGCGGCCGCGGGAGTTGCCGAGCAGAACGGGCAGGCCTCGGAGTTCTCTGCAGCAGGAGGCCTCCCTAACCCGAGCATGTTCGCTACACCTGAGCTGCGCCTCGACGACTGCCAGATCATGTGGGCGAAACGACCTTCCTAGATACGCATGCCAGGCAGACTGTTCACTGGCAGATGTAAGTCTTATTCTCACAAGGCCCCCTCCTCCGTCGCGATGGATGGTCATTGGTGTATGGTCGGCGGTTGAGCGTTTCCTGCAGCATGCGTGGGATGGGGAACACTTCGCTCTGGCCGCGCTGCATCAAGTTGTGCCAAGAGCATGGCTGGTCAAGAGCCTCGGGGGAGGAGCTCGGAAGGGCGGGGACTCCGGGGAGCGCTGGTGGCGGAGCGCGATGGGTGCGATGCGGATGGGTTCAGCTGGGCCGCGCCGCCTCGCTGCCAACTCCGCGCCGTCTCGCTGCAAGCGTGGGTGGCGTGTGGGAAGGAGCTCGGCAGTATCTTGCAGACGTTTGCCCATGGAGTTCGGATGGCTCGCGTTTTCGACGCCGACGGCGCCCTCGTCCTGGCCGCACCCGGGCTGCTCCGCTGCGGCTCGTGCGGAGCCTCCGCCTGAAGCGCGGCCCCCGCGGCCTCCCGCAGGCAGTGCCACGGGGGAGCGGGCGGGCTCGGGCTGCAGGCAGCAGCAGGCGCGCGTGGCCCCCGGTGTTCTCCCCTGCCGCCGCTCGAGCCAGCACGTGGGGCGGTCTCCCTCCTTGCCGCCTCCTCCCTCCGCCTCCTCCTCCTCCTCCGCCTCCTCCGCCTCCTCCTCCTCCTCCTCCCTTGCTCCTCCTCCTCCTCCTCCTCCTCCTCCTCCTCCCTTTCTCCTCCTCCTCCTCCCTCCTCCCTCCTCCTACGCTCCTGCGGTATGGTGTGTCGCGGCGCGCTGGTGTCACTTGCTCGACCGTGGCCCGCTTTGGTCTCTCGCTGTCGAGGCTCGCACAGTGGGCCGAGGCGGCGTCCTCCGGACCAGGCTCGGAGGCTGAGAAGTCGGGCCTCGGGGCGCGAGCCCGTTGCCGCCGTCAAGGTTTGCTGGCATTGGTTCGGCGTCACCCCAACGTACTTTTGCTATACGTGCGTTGCCCCCCCAGGGGCGACGCGCGCACCGAGAAATCTCATAGTATATGTGTCGTGGCGTGCGCTTTCTGGCCACACCGCTCGGGAAACGATATACCACAATGTGGATATACTGTATGTTCGGGTCGGACGCGCGCCTCCAAGGAGGACATTTAGTATTAGTATGTCTCTGTGCGTCCCATTGGTGGTGGTCTGCTGGGAACTGAATCTCAATGATTCGTCCTCGTCCTCCCTCCTTCCGCTTTGTCCGGGATCGGTGAGACACTGCTTGGGCTCCTGCTTCCTCCTGCCCCGCCTTCCTCCCTGCAAGAGGCTGCCTGACAGCACTGGAGCGCGGCGCGCGTGGAGGGGAGGAGGAGGGAGGAAAGAAGCAGGGAGGGAGGAAGCAAAGGAGGGGTGTGAGGCGGGGGTGAGGCCAGGAGAGGGCGAGGAGCAGCGGGGGCCCTCTTGGAGGCGAAGGGGCCTCATCTGCTTCTCCTGGGCATGCTGGCCTGGGGCCCAGGGCCGGGCCAGGGGCCAGTATCTGGCTGCGGCGACGAGGGTGTTTCCCTGCAGGCCAATAGAAGCTGAGAAGCGGCGGGCAAGTTCGATCTTCGACCCTGTATCATTTCCCCTTCTTCCCCTCCCGCCCGCACTCGTGCGCCGGGAGGCGGCGGATGAGAGAGAGGGAGCGGGAGACGGGAGGAGGAGGAGGGGCGAAGAGGGGCAGGGAGGAGTTTGTTTGGGGGGGGAGGGAAGGGGGAGACGGGAGGAAGAAGTGGAGGGGCGAGGAGGGGCAGGGGAGGAGGATTTTCCACGGGACGTTCCCACTCCGGCTGCGTCAGGGCTGCAGGGGGACGTCTTAGACGGAGCGCCTAAGCTGGCATGAGCTCGGCTCCCCAGCCCTGCCTCACGGGCCCTGCAGGCGCCCGCAGGGCAGGAGGAGTAGCAACAGCAAGGTCGGAAGGGGGGGAGTGGGGAGGAGGAGGAGGAGGAGGAGGAGGAGGAGGAGGAGGGGGAGGGGGGAAATCCATTCCTCAGTCTTTCCTCTCTTTCCAATATGATCCAGTGCGCGCTACTTGCACCAGACCGAATCATATCTCCTCCTTTCTCCTCACTGTGGCAGATCGGGCTAATGGATAAGGATGCGGCCAAGGATAGCGACGGGATGCTGAACCTCACGGCCGTTCGGCGCTGGCCGCCAGTCTGCCTGGCGAGCCGTCTCACGGTCAGTCGTCGCCACGAAGGAACGAGGGGGTCCCGAGGGAAGCCCAGGTCCCCCGTGGGGGCGCGAGATATTCGTGCTTCGTGTGCCGCGGTCTGAGTCAGATCGGCTGCCCTTTTCCAAGGGGCCGGCGTGAGGGCTCGAGCGCACGAAGATAGTCGCGCGTCGCGGGGCGCGAGTTGCGAAATTTGGTGACCCATGCAACGGATCCCAGGTCTTCATCCTCAGTCGTTTTGGCATGGCCCTGGGGCTCGCGGAGGGCGGCACAGCAACGGCAAGGAGCTTCCAGGGCTCACGTCCTTCACGCTGATCCTGCGCTCACCCCTCCCTGCCTGCTGGGGTTGGCGGGCCGCCCGACTGCGCTGCAGCGGCGGCAGCAGTGGCTCCACCGCCAGAAACTGATAACATCCTTAAATATCCGATCTGCTTTGTTCAACTTGCCATTTGTTTGACAGATTTCGGTTTCTGGTGCCTGTTATTGGGTCCTGGCCTGATTGGAATCGGACTCGAACACTCTGTTTGGAGCCGCGCATTGACAGAAACACAGCGTCGCATGTCTGGGTCCGTCGCTTCGGAGCCATGCCCCAGAAACTTGAGGATCCCCCCCTCCCTCGGAGCGGTGGACATCATGGCATGTCCTCCTGCCCATGACGGCGGGATTGTGTCCACATCAGTCCCTCGCCCCCGGATCTGCGGCTGGCTCTCAACAGTGTATTTCGGGAGTAACCATTTCCTCGACTTATTCTGAATTCGGGGCCACGGCCCCCTTGCGCAGGCTGGTAACGACCTTTCGCCTCGGGGGGACGTCTCCGCCTTCCGCTCCGCTCCTCGGATCTCGGGCTGGACTCCAGCAGCTCTAGGTGTGGACGTCTTTCGCGGCGCAGCGGCCGGGGCGCAGTCGGATCCTCCCGAGGCCGAGCGGCGCAAGAAGGGCGCGGGCGCGCAGGCCGGCAGGCCGGTCCGCGCCGCGCCGCCCGCTTGCGCCCTGGAGTCAAGCAGTGGCGAAGCGTCCTGGCTCGCCTAGAGCCCTGCCAGGCACTGTTCTGAGAACCCTTTTTGTGGTTTCCACGGAATGTTCTTAGAACATTTCCGGCGGAGCCTGTCTTGTTCCCAACCATCCTGTGGTGTTGGGTCCTCGTTTTGAAGAGACGGTGCCCCGCGTCCCCGCCTCCTTCCTCCCTCCCTCCTCCCCCTCCTCCCCCTCCCACACCCATTCTGGCACACCCCTCACACGTTTCGTGGCCCCATAGGGAGCTCCACCGAAGGCCGCAGTGGCTGCGCTCGCATGCGGTTCCACCCCCCATTCTGGCACACCCCTCACACGTTTCGTGGCCCCATAGGGAGCTCCACCGAAGGCCCCAGTGGCTGCGCTCGCATGCGGTTACACCCCCCATTTCGGCACACCCCTCACACGCTTCGTGGCTCCATAGGGAGCTCCACCGAAGGCCCCAGTGGCTGCGCTCGCATGCGATTCCACCCCCCATTCTGGCACACCCCTCACACGTTTCGTGGCCCCATAGGGAGCTCCACCGAAGGCCCCAGTGGCTGCGCCCGCATGCGGTTCCACCCCCCATTCTGGCACACCCCTCACACGTTTCGTGGCCCCATAGGGAGCTCCACCGAAGGCCCCAGTGGCTGCGCCCGCATGCGGTTCCACCCCCCATTCTGGCACACCCCTCACACGTTTCGTGGCCCCATAGGGAGCTCCACCGAAGGCCCCAGTGGCTGCGCCCGCATGCGGTTCCACCCCCCATTCTGGCACACCCCTCACACGTTTCGTGGCCCCATAGGGAGCTCCACCGAAGGCCCCAGTGGCTGCGCCCGCATGCGGTTCCACCCCCCATTCTGGCACACCCCTCACACGTTCGTGGCCCCATAGGGAGCTCCACCGAAGGCCCCAGTGGCTGCGCCCGCATGCGGTTCCACCCCCCATTCTGGCACACCCCTCACACGTTTCGTGGCCCCATAGGGAGCTCCACCGAAGGCCCCAGTGGCTGCGCCCGCATGCGGTTCCACCCCCCATTCTGGCACACCCCTCACACGTTTCGTGGCCCCATAGGGAGCTCCACCGAAGGCCCCAGTGGCTGCGCTCGCATGCGGTTCCACCCCCCATTTCGGCACACCCCTCACACTCCACCGTCGCATGGCCACCATAGGAGCTCGCACCGGGGTCCCAGTCCACCGAAGGCCCCAGTGGCTGCGCTGGCATGCGGTTCCACACCCCATTCTGGCACACCCCTCGCACGTTTCGTGGCCCCATAGGGGGCTCCACCAAAGGTCCCAGTGGCACTGCCCGCTTGCGTCCGCCACCACCCAGCACAGCCCTTGTTCCCTGCGCTTCACCCACCCAGAACAGCGCTTCGTAGCCCTATAGGGAGCTCCACCAAAGGTCCCAGCGGCACCGCCCGCATGCGTCCGCCACCACCCTGCACAGCCCTTGCTCCCTGCCTGCGTTTCACCCACCCAGTACAGCGTTTCGTGGCCCCATAGGGAGCTCCACCGAAGGCCCCAGTGGCACCGCTCGCATGCGTCCGCCACCACGCAGCACAGCCCTTGCTGACCGCGTCTCACCCACCCAGAACAGCGTTTCGTGGCCCCATAGGGAGCTCCACCGAAGGTCCCAGTGGCACCGCCCGCATGCGTCCGCCACCACCCAGCACAATTGCGGCATTCACAACTGCATATGGTTGGGTCCTTCGCCAGGCTAATTTTATCACATCGGGCTTATGCTCTAAGCACATAGCTTATGTTCTTAGAACACGTTTGGGTTCTGAGAAAATTCGTGGTAGGATTATAGGAATGCTGGCACGGTCGGTCCCTGCTCAACGGGGTCGAAGCGCATCGGTCTTCGTATGTGTTTTCGGAGGCCTAGAGGTCGACACCAGCACCAGTATCGGCGGTGTGCCTTCACCGAGGGAAGATGACCCCGATCCCAGTGATGGTGGTAATATTCGGGCTTCCATGGCAGCCGGAAGATATCGAAATATAACCACCAGCACCAAAATCCGCGGTCATTTTCTCCCGGTGGAGGCACCCCCTGTGTTCGTGTTGGTGTCCATCTCCAAGCCTCCAAGAGTTTCGCCCTTTCCGGGTCGGTGGGGGTCGGTCAGCTTCTTGGGTCCAGCAAGCGTTTGCATGGGGAATGGCGCAGGGGGCAGGAACCTGTGTCTAGGCGTCTTCGGGGCTCATCGGTCTTCCCCTGCGCGTGGCAATGCAGTGCAATGACGTCAATCCGTGAACTCCGAGTCGGGGGATTGGAAAAGGGGGGGGGGTCGAACAACGACATCTGCTGTGTGCAGTTGGTCTGGCTCCGTCGCGGGGCACGTTCTTTGGCAAAATTGAGTGATCGCTTCCTAGGTGGTCGCTTCCAGCTCCAGGAGGCCCCTGAAAAAACAGCTGCGTGAGCAGGTTCGCTGGCCCCCACCCCCTTCGATATCCTACCCTTTTGTCTCTTCCGACCCCTCGGGGCCTCCCGGGGGCGCCCTCGTCGCCGCGGCGGGACGGGCCGCGACGCCCGCCGATCCTGGACGAGGCTCCAGGATCGAGGGCCGAGGGGGCGAGGAGGTTCGACGAGATCTTTCGCCGTCCGCGTGCCTCGTGCGGGGAGGTCTGAAGGCGAGTGACCACGGCGCCAAGGCGAGAGAGCCCCGCTTCAATCCGTGCGACTGCTGGCTCCTTAGGAGTCGAGAGTGCGTGGCGCTCAGGCGAAGTTCCCATCAAACACTTGATCGGGCATTCCGCCCTCAACATGATGGGTGGCAGGAGGCTGGCTCGCAGTGGTTTCCCCTTATGAGGAGATAGTTGTAATTGTTTGTCATTTTGGCCAATTTTGAACACAACGTGTGATTGTGTTCGCGTTCAAGCGTGATTATACGACGTCTGGTTGCCGAGTTCACGGATTTAGTCTTCGTATTGCGCTAGCAATGGAAACCGTTATTGTTTGTGGTATTTATTGCGGGGTTTGCTACCCACGAGTCGCAGGAGCTCGCCCAAGTGAACGGGACATTGGCGCCCTACCAAAGCAGGAATGTTATGAATCCGCCTGGCGAGTCCATCGACAAGAAAGCGTCGGCTTTACATTATTTCGACCATCGATTCGCCAAGGCGCATGCGACGTACTATGCCAACCAGTAATGTTCTTTAATGGTAAAGGGTGTGTCAAGCTTCGGCTGCACTCGCGGCCAGCGGTCTGCCCATGTCGAAGCCGTGGCTCGCAGATGCTAACAGGCAGGAGCGGAAATTGTCGAGGTCGGCTTTGCGGTTGCGACCAGGGCCGAACGAAGCAAACAGCCAGTACTTCGGCAGGACGTCCCAACGTCTGAGGGAGGAGCCACGAGTGCGGCATTCCATCCTTGCCGAAGAGGGTGCTGGAAGCCTTGCATAATGCTTAATCATTTTTGTTCGTTAAATTCCCTTTCTTGCCGCCAGCCTTGGTGACAGGGCGCACACATGTTTGCTGCTTGCCAGGACGGGGCCTAGAGACAACGAGTGGATGAAAGTGCGGTGCAACTGCCCGCATTCGCGCGCCCCCCGATCAAGTGAAGAAATCAAGCTTGAACATCACAGCACTTCGATAAAGCGTTTTGTCCGTTTCGGGTTAACGTTTCGCCTCCATGCGGGCCTCTTCCGAGCCCAACTGACTACTGACGATGGGCATGTAAGAGGGTATGGCAGCATTGCCGCAGCATGTGCGCAAGGAATCATAATGGAACAAGTCATGGGAAGCATTGCCCCAGCACGTGCCCCAACGCGTGCGTTTCCTTGTCTCTGGCGCCCCCCGCCTCTTGGCCGGAGGAGCAACGCCGAGGAAACGCAGTTGCTCTGCAGCTGGAGCAGGTTGACGTTTGCCGAGAGCTCCGGCGCGACCTCTCAGGCCCAGCCCTGAGGGGGGGAGGGGACCAGAGCAGCTCGGGTTGGACGAGATGGGGGACTGGCACGGGGGGGGGGGGGGACGGGGCGAAATGTGTTGCATGCCGCAGGTTTCGGCTCCGCCGCCTGTCACTTTCCCTCGATACTTGGGCGCCTCCATCGTCGGGAGGCGCCTGGGCAATCAGCCACGTGCGCCGTTTCGGTACCCCCCCTTTTGCTGTCCCACCCATTGCCCGAGTCGAGGCACGCAGACCAGTAATGAGGGAGGGGTCCTGCAGCAGAGGGGGTCTTTGAGGTTTTTGTTTCGATTGCGGGCTTACGGGGCTCTTCCCGGCACCCAAGGCCGTCAAGGAACGACTCGGGCGAGATGAAACGCAACATTTCCCCAGGGAAAGCCTCGGGGACCAGGACCCGTGTTTGCCAGGGCCCTGCTTCATGCCCCCGGGCATAAGGGCCAAGATACTGATACGAGGACGAGGGCGAGGGGCAGGAGGACGATGGGCAATGAGGAATGGGGGGGGCGAGGAGGACAAGGGGATGGGAAGGGAGTGGGGCGGCGAGAACGAGGACGCGAGCATGTGGCGGGCGCTCCTCTGCCCGAGGACACCTGTAGGACGAGGACGAGGGAGGGGAGTGACCAGAGGGTCGGGGCAGACGGAAGGGTGTGGGGCGGGAAAGGGTGTTTGCGTGTGTGTGTGTGTGTGTGTGTACGTGTGTACGTGTGTACGTGTGTGTACGTGTGTCTGTGTGTGTGTGTCTTTCTGTGAGAGAGACAGAGAGAGAGAGAGAGAGCGAAAATTGTTGCGCGGAATGTTCGTGTGTGTGTGTGTGTGTGTGTGTGCGTGTGTGCGTGTGTGTGCGTGTGCGTGTGTGCGTGTGCGTGTGCGAGCGTGCGTTTGTGTGCGTTTGTGCGTAAGTGTGTAAGTGTGTGTATTTGTGTGCGTGTGTGTAAGTGTTGAAGTGTGTAAGTGTGTGTGTGTGTGTCGTTGCCGCTTACGCCTCCAGGTCGTCCCATGGCCTCCAAGTCGTCCATTCTGCTATTGCGCTCCCCCCGCCTTCCAGTACCCGTTGGCTTCTGTCACCGCCCACCCCAGCGTAGCTCGTCTATCCTCTGTCCCCCCCGCCATCCGCGCCTGGATGATTATGTCTGCCTGGTGCTGCGCGGCCTTAAGTGGTCATAGAGGCATTGAAGGCTCGGTCATTGAGGCATTGCGCGCGCACGTGCTGTTTTCAACCTTCCACGCCTGGACGCTGCGCGCATTTCCGCGACGCCAAAAAGTGTGTGTGTGTGTGTGTGTGTGTGTGTGTGCGTGGAGGTGTGCGAAACTTGCTCTGAACATGGCCGCCTTCCTGCGCCGGAAAGGCGAGCTGCTTTCGGCTGATCCGCTGTCCACTCACCTTTGGGAAGGTGCGCTAGTGGATCTCCCTGAATACACGAAAGGGGGGGGTGCAGAACCCCCCCTCCTCTCGCCACTTTCCAAAGGGGGGGGGGAGGTTCCAGAACCCCCCCCCCTCCCCCCCCCCCCCCTTGGCGCTGGAAAGGGGGGGGAGTCGGACCCCCCCCCCTCCCCCCCTTTGCGCCGGAAAGGGAGCCGGGGAGGGGGGGCCTCTCTCGCTTCTCCTTTCTGCGCCGGAGAAGGTGTGTAAAGACTACGGAGTTGGGAGTAGGAAGTGGTGAGTAGTGAGTAGTGAGTTAGTACGTAGTGAGTAGTGAGTAGTGGGTAGTGAGCGGCGAGTAGGAAGTAGGGAGGAGGGGGCGGGGAGTATGTATTGATAAGTGAGTAGTGAGTGGCAAGTAGTGAGTAGTTAGTAGCGAGTAGCGAGTAGTGAGTATTGAGTAGGGAAAAGAGAATAATGAATAGTGGGTAGTGAGTAGTGGGTAGCGAGTAGTGGGTGGCGAGTAGTGATTAGTAAGTGGTGAGTACTGGGCAGTGCGTAGTGCGTAGTGAGTAGTGAGTAGTGAGCATTGCGTAGTGACTAGTGAGTGGTGAGTAGTCAGTAGTGAGTAGAGAGTAGCGAGTAGCGTGTAGCGAGTAGTGGGTAATGAGTAGTGCGTAGTGCGTAGTGTGTATTGAGTAGTGAGTAGTGATGAATAGAGAGTAGTGGGTAGTGGCAGTGGGTAGTGAGTAGCGAGTACGGAGTAGCGAGTAGTGAGTCGTAGTGAGGAGCGAGTAGGGCGTAGTGAATAGTGAGTAGAGAGTAGTGAGTAGTGAGTAGTGGGTAGTGAGTAGTGAGTAACGAGTAGGGAGTAGCGAGTAGTGAGTAGGGAGTAGGCAGTAGGGAGTAGTGAGCAGCGAGTAGTAAAAAGTGGGTAGCGAATAGTGGGTAGTGAGTAGCGATTAGTGAGTAGTGAGTAGTGGGTAGTGACTAGTGGCTAATGACTATGACTAGTGACTAGAGACTATGTAGTGACTAGTGAGTAGCGAGTAGTGAGTAGTGAGTAGTGAGTAGTGCGTAGCGGGGATTGAGTAGTGTGTATTGAGTAGCGAATATGGGAGTAGAGCGTAGTGAGTAGTGAATATTGTGTAGTCCGTAGTGTGTAGGGAGTAGGGAGTAGCGAGTAGCGAATAGTGGGTAGTGAGTAGTGATTTGTGGACAATGAGTAGTGAGTAATGAGAAGTGAGTGGTGGATAGTGGGTAGTGGGTAATGATTAGTGATTAGTGGGCTGTGAGTAGGGAGTAGTGGGTAGTGCTTAGTGAGTACTGAGTATTGAGTAGTGGGTAGTCAGGAGTGATTAGTGAATACTGAGTAGGGAGGAGGGAGTAGTGAGTAGGGGGTAGTGAGTAGCGAGTAGTGGGTGGTGGGTAGTGAGTAGTGGATAGTGAGTAGTGAGTCGTGAGTAGTGAGTAGGGGGTAGTGAGAAGTGAGTAGCGAATAGCGGGTAGTCATAGTGAGGGTAGTGAGTACTGAATAGTGAATAGTCCTTGGGGCTGGGGTTAGTGGTTGGGCTTAGGATTCGGGTTTTGTGTTAGTGTGAGGACGGGGGGTAGGGGTGGCGGGGGTCGGGTTCCAGAGTCAGAGGGCGGCGTGGCGAAAGGGGGGGAAGGGGGGGGGGGTGCGGCCAAACGGGGGGAGGGGGGGTTCGGAACCCCCACACCCCCTTTTGAAAGGGGGGGGAGGGGTTGTTCCCCGACGACGGATGGAGGAAAGGGGGGGGGGGTCCCCGACGACGGATCGGGGAAGGGGGGAGGGGGGGGGTTCCCCACGACGGCTCGGGGAAAGGAGGGGGGGGTTCCCCCCCCCCCCCTTGGGGTTATCCAGCGGCGCGCCCTCCACCTTGGGTATCCCCCTGTTTGCCCACTCCAAAAAGAAATGGGGACGGAGGGGGAGAATCGTGGACATTGTCAGACGGCTCTGCTCTGCAATCTCTTCGATGGATTACGATGGGTTTTCACCTGGGCTTCGGAAGTGGCCTACGGGCTCAGTCTTTGTCATTTTGAGATGCTGGATGTTGGATGGTTGCGCGTTTTTTTGTTGAAGTTTTTATTGTTGCCTTTGATGCCCCCGAAGGTTCTCAAATGCTTGTGGCGTGTAGATGTTTTCGGAGGAGAGGAGCGAGGACGAAGAAGAGCGTGTGGTCAAATGTTCCTGGGTGGAGGAGAAGGTTTAGGTTGATGATGCCGAGGAGGATGACACCGAAAAGTACGACGAGGAAAACAAGCTTTTATACTCATCGTTATATCCATCCTCACGGGTTCCCCGTATTCTTCATTTCTTCCCTTCTCTCGTGCTTGCACGCTAGAAGTGTTGTCGAGGGTTGCCTTTGGAGATCGTTGATCCTCCTCCTCGTCCGCCTCCTCCTCCTCATTCTCTTCATCATGAACCTGATTCATCCTCCTCCAGCGGCTGCTCCTCATCTTCCTCCCTCTCCCTTTGCCCGTCCCAGCGTTCACTTGTTCTACATGAGTGGGAGGCCGAAGCTACTCCTCCTCCCTCCCCCCGTTTCCGCATCTCCCCTCTCCATTTTCCTCTATCCTCCCCCGACATCCGTTTCATTTCTCTTCTTCCTTTTTTCCTTCCCTCTTCCGCTTCCTGCCTACCCCTGCCCATCCCTCCAGCCCTGGCGGCCGCCCACATTTGGAACGGATGGCCATTGTGACAGGCGAGCGAGGAGATCCGAGGCAAAATTCTACAGTAAGCGGCCGCCCGCTCGGCATCCGCAGCTAGACCTGGGCCTTGGCCTGGCCTGGCTTCGAACCCCTCCCCTTCCCTCTCCTCATTCTTCTCTCCGTCATTCCAGTTACTCTGCAGAGGAATTACAACATGTCTTCAAGGCGGGGGGACATCCGATTCCGCTGTGTGGGCGAAGTACAAATTCCTCAGGGCGGAAGTGTGAAACCGAGACACAAAAGGAACACACGAAGAATACTCGACGCGGAGATACCCATATGTGTTTTTATGTTCCCACACATGTCCCGCTGCGAGCGTGCGCGTGCGAGAGAGTCTCATGAAAGCTTCTGGGTAGGACAATCAGGGAACGGTTGAGTTTGAGTGTGAATGCGGCTAAATATGAGTGAGTCTGAGTATGAGTGAATCTATGCGCATGAGTGTGAGTGAATGTGAGTAGTCTGAGTGCGGGTGTGAGCCTGGCTTTTTCTTGGGTCGTTTGGGGGCCCTTTTGGATTGTTTGAGGGCCTCTTAGGCCGTCCTGGGAGCCTCCCAGGCCGTCTTGGAGGCTGTCGAACACATTGAAATCTAAATGGCGAACCAATGAGTTTGGCTTCTTCGGGCCTCCTGGAGAGCCTCTTAGGAGCTCTCTTAGGCTGCATCGCTGGCTTCTTTACGCCCTCCTATCTGACGGCTTCGGAGGTCGTCTTGGGGCCTCTATGGGCTGTGTTGGGGCCCTGGGGCCGTCTTGGGGCATTGTTGGGGGCCTCTTGTGCCGTCTTGGGGACATCTGAAGGCCTTGGGCCGTCGGAAGCTCGAAACGGCTGGAGCCCAACACAATCTTGAAAACATGGAAATCAAATGTTTGGGCTGATTCGGGCATCCTGGGCTGGGGGGCCTCCTTGGGCCTCTTTGGCTCTTGGGGGCCTCTTGGGGGCCTCTTGAGGGCCTCTGGGGGGGGGGGGTGCGAGGGCTGGGATCCTCTTTGGCCATCTCGGAGGCCTCTTGGGCCGTCTTGGGGCACTCTTGGGCTGTTCTGGGACCCCGTTTGAGGCCTCTCGGCACGATCTTGGAGCGCCCAGGAAGCCGGAAAGGCGAGAACGCCCAATTCCTCCAAAAAGCCCGAAAGGGCAAGCCATATGTTTCCTTCTAGGGGCCCTCTTGGGAGGCCTCTTGGAGCCCTCTTGGGGCGTGTCGGAGGCGTCTTCGGCCGTATGGAGGCCGTCTTGGGCGTTTTGGACGGATCCGCCGGCGACTCAGAGCCCTCTTGGAACTGTCTTGGGAGCCTCTTCAGGTCCTCTTGGAGAGCTCTGGGGCGCCCGAAAGGCCGCACCCAGGAGGAGAGCCAACCTGATCCGGCCTGGCTCGGCTTTTTCCGGGCACTCGTCGTCCAGGGACCCCCAGGAGCCGCTTCGCGCTCGCGAACTAGTAATACAATTTACCAGCACCGGAGATCTTAGCACGCCTCTGGCCCCAGCGCAGAGCCAACAAGTCCGCTCAGACCCTGGGAAGTTGATGTTCAGTTGTTTTCCCCATCCCTTCGGTTTTTGTTGGGTCATCTTTTTGAATACGCAGCGCCGCGCGTCTCCCCCCGCCTCCGGCCCACCCCCTCGTCGTCGTCGTCGTCGTCGTCGTCGTCGTCGTCGTCGTCGTCGTCGTCGTCGTCGTCTTCGTCTTCGTCTTCGTCGTCGTCCTCCTCTTCTTATGGCCCTCGACCATCTCGGCGCACCCCGCACGCTTTTCATGCCAGGCCAACTTGTACTCGAACTCGTGCTGATGCGCTTGACCCCTCGTCCTGTCGTCCGTCTGCGGGTCCGTGGGACCCGATGCGGCCAGGCAGTCGACAACACCGCCGCTCGCCAGCGGAGGCAGCAGTTCAGCTCCTGGCTCCACAATCAGGCGGCCTGCGGCGGGCTCAGCCGTGCTCCGGGTCCGCCAGGTCGTGAGGGCGCTTGCTCGTCGCGCCTGCTCACTGGGAGGACGAGGAGGAGGACCCGCAGGTCTGGGCGTCGGCAAAAGTCTCGGCGGCAGTTGTTCTGTCGTTTCGGCCTCTGGAGGCCGTCCCCCGGCCGCGGGACCGGCAGGAAACGGCTCGGGATGAACCAGCCCCAGGGAAGGAGTCGAGGTCCCGGGGGGAGGGACGTGCACGTCGCGAAATGATTGCGACGTCGAAGGAAGAAGAGGGGAACGAGAAGAACGACGACGACGACGCTTGAAAATGCAAATGCAGCGTATATTTCGAAGGTTTATGATTTCTGGGACGCGAAAAAAATGTGAATTACAAGGGATCGTGGCTTGGGGGACGCACATTTTGTTTCATATGCGCGAGGGTATTGCCTCGGAGACGCGGATTCTCGGGGGCGCGAATACACTGTACTATGGATGGATCGGCCTCGGGGACGCGAAAACTGCATAATGTACGAGACAGTACGGCTTTGGAGGCGAGAATACGATGTCATTTGCCTGGGATTACAGCTTCGGGGGCGCGAAGATTGTGTATTTTCACGTGCCCCAGGACCCCCCAGAAATTTTGAGAGCCCCCCAAGGTGAAGGTAACCAGGTCCCGTGTCGGCTCCACCCCTTCGCGCGGACGAATTGTAACATCGGAGAATAGAACTGGAACTGGAGCAGGGATCAGCAAGCCTAATCCCCGGAGCCTGATGGCCTCTCAATGGAGCCGGTGAATTCGATTTGCGTTTTGGCACGGTACACATTTTTGATTGCTCACGAATTTGTCGCAAGCAGGCCGCGCGCGTGAGAGTGAAATGTGGTTCTCGCCCCAGCGCAGCTAGCATAATTTCTGAAAACGACGCTCTTGCTTGGGATGTTTGCGATTGTATGGTTCGCCAAGGTGTCGGCAGGAGGAGGACATTGAGGTGGAGGAGAAGGGAGGACAGGACGGATGGGGACTCATCCTTCTCTCCTTCCGCCTCTTCTGCCTAATCTCTCATTTCCCAACCCTCAGAACACCTCGCTCCTCCGCGTGCTTCCCCACCTTCCTCGTTCCTCGCGGCCAATCGATATTCCATGCTTCTTCTCCGCTCCTGCCCGTGCATGGCCTTCATCACTCCTTCGTCGCTCCCCCTCCACTCGGCGACTGTGACGCTGCACAGTCGGTTTGGTTTCCCGTCCTCGGTTGCTGTAGTTCGCTCGGACTCTCAGGGAGACGGGTGGGCCGGACACCTTCCTGGAAGAGCCTGCCGACATGCAGGTGAAGATTGACCTCTTCGGAGGAGGGTCTGGGCCCCATGTAGTCGGCACGCTCGGCGCACCTCCCGTCGCCTCCCCCCCCTTTCCTCTCTTCCCTCCCCGTTCCTCCTGGCTGCGCCCCCTGCAGCGTCTTCTCTCCCCGGCTGGCGCAGCAGAGGCTAGGCTTGTCGGGCGCAGCTGGAGCTCGACCCACACATCGTCGGGGACGATGCTGGGGATGTCCGCCCCATCTCACGGTGGCGCTTGTCAAGGGCAACCAGTGCTTCGTGCTCGGTCCCCCCTTCTCCTGGCGCTGGCACCCACAGGCGCATCGACTTTCAACAAGTCCTCCTCCCCGTTCCCCTCCCCCACCTTCCCTCCGCCATCCCCGACCCTTCTCCCCCATCTCACCCATCCTGCCATTTCCTTACCTATCTCCCCTCCTTCCTCCCCAATCCGCCTGACTGCTCCCCGGTCCCTCTGCCTCCCCCGCCTCCTTCTCTCCCCTTTCCTGCTTCCCCCCCTCCGGTCCTACCCCCTCAGCGCTAGCGATCTGCTCGGTGGAGGGAAATTCGTTGCGTAATCTTCTTTGGCGGGCTTAGTTTCTGTCCACAAATAACACCGGAGGGCGGATGGCCCAGTTCTTGCCCATTCCCCCTCCCATCCCGCGCCCCGAGGGAAACGGGCAAAGCTCTTGTTTCTTCCCTTATTCAGGATTCCCACCTTCAGGATTCCCGCGGCCAGGAGTTCCGGCTTCGACTCCATGGATGGCCAGATGTTCCTGGACATCGGTTTCTCCTCCGTTCCATCCTCCGGCGAGGACCATCATGGGCCTCGGCCCCTCCGGTGGTGACCATCAATACACCAATCCACCATACCGCCAATAGGCACCAGAGGGGGCCGTGACCCTCCCAGAGTTCGGTCCTTCGGCCTAGGAAGACGGCCGTAGAGAGGGGTGCCGACGTACATCCGCAACTCTGGCCTCACCACCTGATGGCGCCAATCTCCACCATCCAGCGTCTCCCTCCTCCCCCGTCCGCCCCTGGCTGGAGGGCGCTGCCGTGCCCGCCTGCCTCCCTCGCTCGCCCTGGAGGAGGAGACCCCCCCGGGGCACCGAGGCCACGGCGTCGCGCTCGGCGCCGAGGCGCAGGTGGTGAAGCCGGGCCTCGTTCAAGGCCTCGGCGCCGCGTGCCGGACTCTCCGGCGGCCCCTCGGCGCCCTCGCCGCTGCCTCGGCGGCCTCCCCGCGGCCCTCGGCGGTCCTGCGGCCTCGGCGCCCGCCGGCCTGCTCCTCGCACCGCGGCGGCCCTCGGCGGCCCTCGGCGGCCCTCGGTGCCCTTCGGCGGCCATCGGCGGCCCGCGGCGGCCGTTGGCGACCGTCGGCGGCTGTCCTTGGCGCGATTTGGCGTCGTCGTCGCGATCGGCGTCGCGGGAAGGCAGCGCGACGGCGAGTGTTTCTCTGGCCCCGGCCTCCCAGGGCCCTTGTCTGGGACCTGGGGGGGGGACTGCAAGCACGGGCCGGCAGACGAAGGTTTAGTCCTGGGAGAGAGGCGCAGAGGTCCAGGGGCCCGTGGCAGGAATTCCAGGCAGCGACTGCAAGGATTATGGCGCGTGGATTAGCGACAGGCCCCGTTTCCATATGACACCGGCGCGCCTTCCGCCAAAAGGAGGCGGCAGTGGCCTCATGTTTCGTGGGTGCATTCCCCGTGCCTGCGTACCGCAGATTGTTCTATTCTCGGGCTCTGCTGTTCTGTTCTGCCTTCTGCCAGTCGTTGCAGGTGATCCTGAACGGTGCTTGGGGCTTACCTTTTCTGGGACTGGGGCGAACCGGGCTCGGCACCGTGGTTGCTTGGCTGGTCCGAGAACACGGTGCTTCGAAGCTTTTGATTATTGTTGCCCCTGCATGTGACTGGTCTGATCCGTCTACCCATGTGGAACAGCTGGCATGTGGAACTTCATAAGGTCACCAAGCGCACGTCGTGTGGAATCCCGCGGGCATCCAAAGGCAACGGGTTGCGGAAGCCCCATCGGGCGACAATGGCGAGTGGAAATTCATGAGGCGTCAGCGGCGTGTGGAAATCCATGGGATCCCCATAGCCTTTCGGGCGGCAACGGCTCGTGGAACACCATTGGGTTACAAAGGCCTCGCTGTGTGAATTGTGGATTCCCGCTTGGCGGACTGCCCTCCCCAACGCACCAGGCCAGTTTTGTACAGCACCTGAAGAGAACCTATCAAGTGCAAGCACTGCCTGGGGAATGCCTCGAATTAGGGCCGTGCCGAGGTCCGTTAATATGAGCGTGATTGGATGATCGCCGCTTCACTTGTGTTCTCCCTTCTCCATGCGATCGCCGCCGCCCGCCGCAGGCGTCAAGGAACCGAGCGACACGTCGACCGCCGCCAGCGACGGCAGCAGCCAGCAGGGCTCGAAGAAGGCCGCCTCCCACGAGGTAGCTGCAGCGGTCGCCGATGCGCCCGCCGCCGCCAGCGACGGCGGCAGCCAGCACGGCTTTAAGAAGGCCGCCTCTTGCGAGGTCGCTCCGGTAGTTGTTGATGCACCGAACGCCGTCGGTGACTGCCGCGGTCAGCAGGGCTCGATGGGGGCTGTTGTCTCCCACGGGGCCGCTGCAGTAGGCGCCGCGGCTACGACGTCAGCCTGTGCGGCCTCTGCCTCGCGAGGAGGTGGAGCCTCTTCAGGAGTGACGGGAATGGGGAGAAGGGAGGCAGTTCTGTGACCACCATCGTCTTGGTTCATGTGATAGTGTTCTCCTCTCTCCGTCTCTCTCCTGCCTATCTCGCTCTCTTTCTCTCTCTCTTTCTATGTTCTCTCTCTTTCTGTCTAACGCTCTCTCTGTCATCGAACGAAGACGCCTACGGCGAGTCACCGCCACCCCCGTCTGTGTGGCAAGGCAAGCTCTGTTGGCCGATAATCTGCGTAAGAGGAAGTGTTGAACAGTGTTTTGAATCGATCCTCAGGCGCCGTCCTGTGGTTGTCTTGGGACCTTTTGTTCGAGCCCTCCTTGGCCGTTTTAGGGGACTCCTTGAGCCATGTTTGGGTTTTGTTGGACCGTCTTGGAACGCTCCTGGGCCGACTAATGCCCGTTGGGGCCGCATTGGAGGCCTCCTTGGACCGTGTGCGGGCTTCCTTCCTACGCTCTTGGGGTCCTCTTGGGCTGTCTTAGGTCCCCGGGGACCTTTCGGGCTGTCTTGTGGCGATCTTCGGGATCCATTGGGCCTGTCTGGACACTCAAGGCCGAGCAGGCAAGAATGTTTCAATCCTGGAGACGAATTAAGGATCATCATGTGGTGTTGCCCTCTCGAAGCTTCCTGAATGCTCTCTTGGGCGGCGTCTTTGGGACCTGTTGGGCAGTCTTTCACTATCTCGGGGTTATCGACAACGCGTTACCCGGTTTTCTCTTGAAGTCAGGCGGCTTCGGCCGATCGTTCTGTCCCGGCGCTTCTTGGCTTTCGTCGTTTCTTACCCCCTTTCCCAGGCTACAGTTGATCGAATAACTTTGCCTATGCCAGCTTGGCTCGTATAGCGATCCGCGTTTGCCTGGCGATCCTCTGCTTCACGTTACTGTGCCAGTCACGCCGTAGTGAGTTACAGTGGTCTCGCGCCCCCCATCTCCCGCCCCCCCGAGAAAAAATAACTTGGGGTCGTAATTGGCACTCTGTGTACCTTCGTTGCCTCTTCGAAGCGCCTTGGGACCATCTTGGCTCACCTCCGCCCTCTTCGGGGCCATCTGGGGGCCACCTTGGGCGGCAGAACGCACGGGGGCTGGCTTTTCCGGGCGGCCGACGGGTCGGGCCGAAGACCGACGATCGGTAGCTACACTTTGCGTATGAAAGGGGTGGTCGGCGCGCCGAGTGTTCTATTTCTTTGATCCTTCAAAACGCATGTTTCCAGCGGTCTTCCGCGTAACCTGCCGGCCACGCGGGCCAACCCCCTAGGTGCACAACGCCCGTTCGCATATAACCAAGACGACCCAAGTCGGCCCCCAAGACGGTTCAAGGTGGCCTCCAAGTCGGCCCAAGAGGCTTCGAAGATTTCCGATCTAGATTCTGAGGGGCGACACGGCACAAGGGGCCCCCAAGAGTTCCCCAGAAGCCGTCAACAGACCCCACAGGCGTCGCCAAGAGACGCCCACGAGGCCCCCAAACCTTTCAAACAGGCTACAAGGCCAACAAGGGCCCGCTACCCCTGGGCTCACTTAAGCCCGAAGGCCCTAAGATGCCTCCATAAGGCTACCAAGAAGCCACGAAGAGGCCCTGAACGGGCCTTCAAGGGGCCCCCCTACAGGCCCCTAAGGCCCCAAACAGCCCTCTGGCGACACCGCAGCACGGCAGTCCCGCAACGAAATCAGGATCACAGCAGACCACCCAAGAACAAAAGAGGCATGGCAGCCCAGCACGCATCCACACGTGCTAGGCATGGTGTCCCTTCTCGTTTTCCTTGCTCCGGCGAGTACGATGAGGGTGTATCCTTCCCAAAAAAGGGGAAGAAGGGGCTGGAATATCTAAGTTCCTAAACCATTTACGCCCAGAGGGCTGGCGGGACTTACGTTTTTTTTTAAGTGGTTTACTCTCCAGGACAAGTCATGCTGGGATCCCCTGGGGCGCCGAGGACCTCCCGCGACTCGGGGCTCTTGGCTTTTTTCAGTAGCATGGACAACAACCAAAAGATTCCACCTCGCGCCTCAGGGTGGATGCGGTAGATTTTAGCCGAGGCTTCGAGGCTCGCTTCGAGGTTTGTGAGGTCGCCGATCCATTTTCTGTCGCGCCATCTTTCCTGCGACTGTAAAATCAGCACCGGAGTGTTCGTAACGTTGAGCGTCCAAGGCCGCTTCAGGCGCTCGGACTATCAATGACCGAGTCGGGGCGTAATGTTCGCCCCAGGGAAAACGACGAGCATTCGGGGGAGCCAGGTCACGAAACATCAGGACGTCCGAGGTGTGGAGAGGATGCTGCGGAAGGTGAAGAGGAGGAGAGGGAGAATGCGCCACTTTTCACTGGCATGTTCAACGGTCTGTCTCGTTATGTCTGATGTCATTTCTTAGATTCGGCTTGGCCCACTTGCACCCCCCCCCGAAAGATGCCATCTCTGCCCAGCCCCCCTTCAGCCTCGCCCTGTCCCTCAACATCCCCGGACCCTTTGTCTGCGTTGCCTTCTTCATTCCGTAACTCACACAGGTGCTCGTCGGAATTGTCGCCTCTGTGCCCACGGCTGTCTGTAGCTATTGTAAGTAATATGTTGTGTTTCATTGCCTTGTCCATGCCCAGCAGAAGCATGTGTTTAGATCGGTTGATTGCCTTCACTCTGTCGGACAATTTCAAAACCAAGTGTCATTTGTTGTGTTGTTGTCGCATGGTTTGGTGTCATCGACGCCGCAAAGCACATGATATCACCACTGGGCCCGCGATCCTCTCCAGAGACGAATCACTGTGGCATGCTTGGCGCCATTCTTTGGACAGCATGCAACGATATATTGGATTTGACGATTACATGACCGCGGGAGCAGCAGCGTGAATCGGATGAGAGGGTCGGAGGAGGACGAGAAGGACGAGGAGCAGGACGACATCTTTCAGTAAACCTGGCTGGGTCATGCTAAATTGACTGCCTGGCGTCCGCAGGATGGCGGAAGTACCTCACCGACGACGCAGACCGAGCTCCTTGGTCGTTGGACGGGCGAATCTCCTAAGCGACGTTGGCGGTGGCGACGACAGCGATAACAACGCCAGCTCAGCAGAGTTACGGCAAGTTCGTGCCGCTTCGATTCGGCAACGGCGCCAGCGCGGGCTTTCAAGGCTTACATCCCCAGGACGAATGCTTTTTCCTCTTGGGCCCGGAACGACGGGTTGAAGTCTTGAACAGACGCGTGCGCATGAGATAACCGTCGTCGGACCCTATGAAGGTCGAGCGGATCAAATGTTGGTTATGGTTTTTATTTCGGTGGGTCCGATTTCTGTCCGCGCGGCTCCGAGTTCGGAATTTCTGGATCCGCGTCCAGCCTCATTTTTGTTCGGCGGATCCATTTTCCACCCCGTTTTGAACTTATATGATGAATGATAAATCGGGGAACCACGCGAAGTCGGACCCCCGAACCCGCCCGTATTGATATTGTACGGGGGAAGGGGGTTCGGTCATCAACGTTCGAGGATGGGTCTGTCTCGTGCGCTCCCATCATATACGCAGCTCGTCCAGACGCCGTTCTGTCCGCGGTGCCGATGTCATCTGTCGAACTCCTCATCGCCATTTTCACCTCAAGAGGAACATCTTTCGTCCTGCGTATGTGCGTTTCAGCCCTACGTCTCCTGACCCGACGGAGTGCCTGTGAGATGTGGTGCGTCGGCTACGTGGTAACCAACTAGTCCGATGAATGTCGGCCCTGCGTCTCCTGACCCGACGGACTGTTTGTGAGATGTGGTGCGTCGGCTATGTGGTAACCAACAAGTCCGAAGGCCGAAACGCCAATGCGTTTCGGCCCTGCGTCTCCTAATCCAATGGACTGCCTCTGAGATGTGGTGCGTCGGCTACGTGGTAACCAACAAGTCCGAAGGCCAAAATGCCAGTGCGCTTCGGCCCTGTGTCCCCTGTCCCAGCGGACTGCCTGTGAGATGTGGTGCGTCGGCTATGTGGTAACCAACAAGTCCAAACGCCAAAACGCCAGTGCGTTTCGGCCCTGAGTCTCCTGACCCAGCGGATTTCCTGTGAGATGTGGTGCGTCGGCTACGTGGTAACCAACAAGCCCGAAGGCAAAAACGCATGTTGTGGTTTTGTTTTTTTCGGTGGATCCGATTTCCGCCCGCGTGGGACCGATTCCAGATTTTTTGGGTCCGCGTCTTGCCTTCTTTTTTACGGCGGATCCGATTTCCACCCCGTCTTGAATCTATATGATTTTTTGTTGTGTAACGCGGAAGACAGGACGACATCGGATCCTCGGACCCCGGAATCCGCCCACGTAAAGATTCTACGGGGGAAGGGGGTTCGGTCATCATTTTCCCAGGATGGGTCCTGTGTTGTCTCGTGCGCTCCCATCAGCTTTCCGCACTCATCGTCGCCAGTTTCACCTCAAGAGGAAACTTTGTCGTCGTGCGTAAGTATATCCAGAATTTGTGCCACCTCGGGCCCGTGGCGGGCACGGGGTGCACGGGGTTCTCTACGGGTTCCAGCAGCGGAGATCCTTCAGGATTAAGCGGCTCGCGAGGTGATAACAACCACAGTTCGCGCCGTTTTTGAAGGAAGTTGCGTTGGAAAACCGTGGCCACCAGAAGTGTTCCTCAGCAGTCGATGGTCTCGGACTTCTTTTGCGGCGGCCCGAGAAGACCCTTGCGGGCCCTAAATTGCTTCACGGAGGCACCCGACGGTACCTAATGAGAGGCCCCGTGGTGGCAGGTTTCCTTGGGGGCCCTCCAGGACCCATTAAGAATGCCCCCCCTGGGCTCCTCTTTGGGGGGGTCCCTGGAACGAGAGAATGTCATGCAGAGGGCACCCAACGGAACCGACCACGGGACCCTTTTTATGGTATGTTCGGTTGGGGGCCCGTTTGGGGTTTGTTGGGCGACCCCCACGGCCTCTAGAGCGCACCGAGTGTGTGAGTGCGCGTGTGTCTCCTATGATTCGAGGGCCTCCGTTTGTACACATGCCCGTTGAGCACTCACGTGTCCTTCTTTGGGTCCTTCGGGCAGTTTCTTGGATACCTTCCAGAGTCTCATTGGGACCGCCTAGGACCTCTCGGGAGGGGAGCTTCACCAACATGCGTGGCCACTTGTTGGATCCCTGCTGCAGCCCCCCATACCTTCATCTTGTTCTACTCGCGATTGCTCGTTTGTGTGTTTCGGCAACGACCGTCAACGCCCGCGTGATTTGGCTCAGTTCGGGCGTTTGGTCGTCTTCGTTTGCAAGTTGCGCATATTTGGTACAAGTCAGCATTGCTTGTCTACTGTGTGTAATGACACTTGTCGTCAAAAGTTGTGCCTAGGAGGTGGCGTAGATGACACATAGCCTGTACACCGCAGCTTGCATCACGTAAATTGTATCATGCAATCTGCACCACAGAGCTTGCGCCATATGTATTGGAACGCATCGGCTTCACCACGCAGCGTTCAAATCCAGTGCGCACGCACTTACTGTTTGGGGTTCACGTTGGCAAACACACGCGTACCTGCACATTTGAACAGTATACAGTGCCGTTTTTTATACATGTTCCGCGTGCCGACCATGTATTTAAAATAAAGGGTTGATTGATAAATACAAGGATGAATTTATACATTAATTTATTCATACATCAATCATGTATTAAAAATCCCATATTAAAAATCCCATGCATTAAAACTGCCCTGTAGAGTTACACACTCTGTTCTTCCTTCTCCTCGTTCCGCTCCTCACCCTCAGCAGCAGGTGGTGGTGCGAAAGGACCAGCGAATGGTTTTTCGAGAGGGAGCCGGGCGACTGGTCGAGGTACGCCGACCCGGGATCGGGCAGGCATTATCCCCAGCGCCTCTCGGCATGTCCGCGAAGAGAGTCTCATGCTCCCAAGGTTCCAGACACCCAGCGTTTTGAAAAAGACCAGTAGTTGTCCACGAGTAGCCAGCCAGGAATGGATCTACACAGCCAAGCGTGTGGCCAGACGTGTGCAAGGAACTGAAACGACTCATGTCCCCCATCAGGGCGCACCACAACATCAGCTCCACGTTTTGGCTTACTGGCGGCTATATCTGGCAAGGGGTGCGCTGACGTGATGATGCAAGCGATGCACAGAAAACATGTTCGCACCCGAATCAGAGCACCCAAGCTGGACACACACGGTAGAGTACAAACGTATGCACATCTGCACGGGAGCGGGCAGTGGCCCGATCAACCGTATTGGTTTGACAAGGAGTAGTCGGCAAGGAGTGCGTCTGCACAGCAAGTCGTGGGACCAGCGTCAGGGCCAGCGTGTCTTCACTGACTCCCACGTCCTCCTCTCCTGCTCCACTCTCCCGGTTCCCGCCTGCATCCCTCACCTCCTCTCCCTCCCCTGCTCCCAGATGCTCCATCTGCAGCCTCGTGCCCCTGCCCCGCACATGATGACTCGGCCTCCTTTTTCCCTCCCTCCGAGTATTCTCGAGGCCTTGTCTTCCTCACCCTCCCCTCGCCTCCTCTCCCCGCCGTTCTCCGGATGGGCGCGCGTCTTGCCTGCCCTCGCGCGGCAGAGGGCCGGCGGATTGGTGGAAGTCGGACGAGGAGTGGTTCTGGGTGTGAGGCCCGGCGAGCTCCTTTTATGTGGATGGCCCGGAGGTCTCGCGCGCGGCCAAGACCAAGGGGGCGGTGCGACTGGTCATCATCATCCCTCCTCCGCCTCCTCCCACGCCTCCTCGTCCTTTGCACCCTCCTCTTCCTGCGCGCCCTCCTCCTTTTTCGTCCCCATTCATTCGTCTCGTTTTCTCCCGTCCGTCACCATCTGCCGATCCTCCTTATCCTGCTCCCCCTCCTTTCTCTTGCTCATGCTTCTCCTGCTCCCCCTCCATTCCTCCCTCTTCCTCCTACATCCTTCTCGCTCCTACTGCTTGCCAGCTTCTTGCTCTTTCGCCCTCCTCCACCCTGCTCGTTCTCCACCCACCTCCCCGTGAGGGAGTAGAGGGGAGGCTGACAAGATAGGCGCGTTTGTGTTGCATCTGACATCGTGCAGTTCCCACCCAACTATTTCCCACTCGCCGACTGGGGTTTCCCAGAGGATCTTGGCCTTACATATCAGCTGCAGAGCTGAGCCATCTTTTGCTCTTCGTGTACCGGAGGAGGCGGTGCAGGAGGAGCAGCAGGAGCACGAGGGGCCGGAACATCAGTAGAAGCCGGAGGAGGGGAAAGGATTGGGACGACAACGACAATCGGTTCCAAATATGTGGCCCGCGTTGGGTCGAGAGTGCGGGGGTGGACAGACCTCCTACCTTGACACGTCGATTAGCGAATTGGCCGTTTTCGGTTCGCGAGAGGGCGTCGCGGCCGTCATTTTTGCGAGTGCAGGTCCGTCGGTTTCGGTCCCAGGCCGTTTTCACTAAAGGGAGGTTTACTAAAGGGAGGTTTGTCCACCGCTGAAGAGCACCATTCTGAACGACGGTGGGAGGAACACCGAGCTTGAAATCTGACCAACTCTGTGGAAAGAGCCGAATGCGTTCTGGTCGAGGACACACATGTACAGCATCATCGTCTGAAGTCGTTTTTTGTGAAAACAATTCGGGGGGTTGGCGGGAGCTCCGCTGGACACCAGCAGGAGAGAGGAGGAGAGTAGTGAAAAGTATGAGGAAGAGGAGGAGCGTGGCAGCCAGCCGATGCCGAGATGCGACAAGTAATGCGTGCATGTGGGATTGAGAGAGAGCAGGAGGAGGAGGAGCAGCGGGGTGGAGTAGATCCTCCCCCATCGAGAGGGGGGCCTCAGGCAAACTCTTCTGACTCACGACAGCGTGTCTTGTCTCAGCACATACGCCAGGACTGGCTTTCGTCCTTGGTCATTCGTTGGTGGTCCCGGTGCCAGAAAAAGGCCGACCGATGTTCGAAATTTGAAGCAGCCGTCATGCTTTGGCGTGGCGATTGGGGGCCCCAGACTTTTGTGGGGTTCTCGCCTCTCCCGCGGCGGGGCCCGTTCTCCCCAAGTGTTCCCCTCGGGGCTCATTCGGCGTCCGATTGAGTCCATTCGGCGGCCGAGCCGTCTCGATCTCCATCGCTCCATTGAATCGAGCCCATTCGGTGGCCGAATGCCATCGGGGCGCAGAATGGGGCGGCGCCCCTTGGACGTTGATGTTCCTTCTCTCGCTACGCCCAGGGCGCGGCTGTTCTCTCTTCTACGCTTCGGCCTACGCCCCGAAGATGAAGTAGTCGCCACGCGTGGCTTCCCGAGGGGGCTCTGTGGACATGCGCGCACCAGCGCTGGCAGCTGGCGACGCCTGGCCGCCGCGAGGGGTGGTTAGCGAGTCAGGCGAGCCTTGCATGTCCTCTCCGTTCTGTTTTTACAGCACACTAGCGTGCGCTAACGTCTGGTAATCGATCAGGAGTCGCCGATTCGCGTCGATCAGCGTCGATTTAGCTTAGGCTAGCGTCGATTAGCGTCGACTCGCAAGAGCCAACCTGTTGGTATGGGAGGCCCCCACGCGTTGCCACAGAAGGGTGGCCGCCTGGCACGGCCTGGCCGCCGGCGCTTCCGCCCGATGTCGCAGGCCTGGCCGCCTTGGCACCGGCCCGACGGCAGCGCGCGCGCGCGTCAGGCGCTGCCGCCCGGCAGCAGCGCGTCGCGCGGCGCTTCGGCTGGCGGGGCGCTGCTGTGCGACGTGCAGCCGTCAAGAGCTTTCCTGGGGGGCTGTCGTCCTCGTGGTCGTCGGCGAGGTCGCCGTCGCCGTCGAGGACGTCGCCGTCGTCAGCGAAGAGGGCGTCGTCGCAGTCGAGGTTCTCGCCGTCGTCGGGGTCGCCGTGGTCGATGTCGTTGTCGCCGTCGCCGTCGTCGTAGTCGTCGAGGTTCTCGCAGTCGCCGTCGTCACTGGCGGAGGCGCAGGAGGAGGACGAACATAAGGAGGGGCGAGGAGGATGTGTACCCTCTCCTCCGACGCCGCATTTGCATGACGTGGGCTCCGGGGATCTCGACCGCGAGAGGTGTGATGAGGACGAGGACGTCAAGGGTCCATCTTGATTCCCGTTCGGCGTCGAACCCCGTCTGACGATACCGTCCCGAGGGGAATCGCGCGCACGACGCAGGAGAGGGTCGATGCATGTTCCTGCTTGTCCTCCTCACAAGGAGGCGGTGGATTGTGCCTCGTCCTTCTCTCCGCGGTTGGCCAGGGTGGGCACCGCGCCAGGCTGCCAGCCACATCCGGGCCACAGGCGGGGGGGGGAAGTGTTGCGGCAGGGGGCAGGGGGGAGGGGCAGAGTGGGGTCGGACGAGGGAGCGCACGAAACCACGGACGCCCGGAGACCTGGTGGCGCAGCTGGGGGGGAGGCTCAGGGTGCGCAGGAGGATCGGGAGGAGGAGGGATCATCGGGGGAGGACGGTTAGGAGGCTGAGGAGGAGGAGGAGGAGGAGGAGGAAGAAGAGGAGGCTGGGGAGGCTGAGGAGGAGGAGGAGGAGGAGGAGGAGGAGGAGCACGAGGAGGCGGCCGCCCGCGCCCACCCCCTGGTGCCCCCCCCCCTCCGGGACAGAGCTGATGTCTGGGACGTTCCCGGCTAATTTTGTGGAGGACGATCAATGTAGAGGAAGCATGTTGCCAACTGATTTCCAGATGTCTACAACATGTGTTAAACATGTCTTAAACATTTAAACACATGCTTAGAACATGTTAGAACATGGTTCCGACACTGCAGACACATGTTCCATCCGATGGTAGGACTGTCAGGGTGTCCACTGTCGTGGCATCCACAAGGCCACTTCGGTATTTCTCCCGTCCTGCCAGCAGGCCCAGCAGGGCGACGAGGAGGAAGTCCAGTCGAGGAGCACATCGGTTGCCGAAGGCCCAAGCGCGGGATTCCTGGGTCTGCGCTGGCCCCCGCTCTCGTGCCGGACGAGAAAGGGGGGGAACTGGGAAGAGGGGGGTTACGAAATCAGCTGCATGCGGCTGGTTTCGGCCCCACCGAGAGGCCCCTTCCTTGATACATTAGCCACCTCCGGCGCCGGGAGGCGCCGGGAAAGTCAGCTGCGTGAGCTGATTCTCCCCTCCCCCGTTTGCTATCCCCCCCTTTCGCCCGACCTGAACCCCTGGGCGCTCTGCGCGCTGGCAAGCAGTCTGGGGGGGAAGTCGAGCGCCGACCCAAGAGATACACCGGGGACTTGTGGCAGTTCCTGCGCATCGCTTGGTTTCTCGAAGAGGTACCTGGCTGGGCCTCCTGGGTCGCCCTCGTCGCCACGGAAGGAACTGGCCCGGCGTCCTGGTCAGAACGCCCTCCCAAATGGTCCAGAATCAGTTTCGTGGAGTGGAGGAGGAGATGGGGAGGAGATGAGGAGGAGGAGGAGGAAGGAGGAGGAGGAGGAGAAGGAGGATGAGGACAAGTGTAAACCAAAACCACAGCAACGATGTTGGAGTAAACCCTCCTAGCTCCCTCTTGGCCCCTACAAGGGTCCATTTCCGCTGAGGGGAGTGCCCCGTTGGGAGACAGACGTTTCAAGATCCTGAATGGTGCAAAAACCACCACTCTCAGGACTTCAGCGCCACGAATCAATCTCGCTGTTGGGTCGTAACGATCCTGAGCCGCGGCAAAACACCATTCCTGGGACTTCAGCACCGCGAGTCAAAGTACTTATTGCGCACGAACGGTCTGGAATCATTCAAAAACAGTATCTCTTGCACGTGGACCATGGGATTCCGTGACACCCTAGCAATTCTTTGAAACAAACGTGCGCGGCGCTAAGACGACAGCCACATTTTGAAACGGAGCCGCCCTCCATTTGTGAAACCTCTTGCACATGTTTGGAAGTACTGTGCGCGGCACTAAGACGAGAGCCACATTTTGAAAACCACGCGACCTCAGTCCGTGAAAATTCTTGCACATGTTTGAAACGAATGCGCGCAGCGCAAAGGCGAGAGCCACGGTTTGGAAGCGGCCCAGCCTTCCATGTGTGAAATTGTTGCCAACTCATAGGTTTCAGGATCATAAGTTGTAAGGAAGTCTCCGGCGAAACCCCTGGGCCGCCCTTCCCATTGGCCTCGGGGTGCGCCTGGCAGGATTGTTATAGGAAATGAATCGAGGAGGAGGAGGAGGAGGAGGTGGACGAGGAGGAGGAGGAGGAGGAAGGATCCTGACATCCAGGCGTCGACCCCTCCGCGTCGCTCGGCGCAACCCCGCGAGCACCCGCCGCCCCCTTCCGCAGGAGACCGCGCCGCGGCCAGCGGGGCCGCGGGCCCGCAGTGCCCCGGGGGGGGGGAAGGGTGGGGGGGAGGCGCCATGCAGGGAAGGGGCCGTGCGGGGAGGGGGTGTGTGGGTGGGGGGGGTCAGGAGGGGAAAAGACACACACACAGACACAATTTACCGTCGATTCCCCGGAAAATATAGGAAATATGGGAAGTGGGGGGGAAGACGGACACCCAGACAATGTTTGCAAATATGGGGAATTTGGTTACTTGTGTGCTTTTACTTGTGTGTCCCAGTTCCCCCTTCAGGGGTGGAGGGGTGGCAGCTCCGACAGCGACACCACTGTCGGCAGCAACGCGGGGAGGTCGCCCGGAGCTCCTGGAGGTCGCCGCGTTCTGCCGTCGAGGGGGCGGGGCGGCCTCGCCCCTCGCGGTTGGTTGCTGACCCGCCTCAGTCCCATCCTGCACTTGCCGGGAGGGGGGCGGGAAGAGGCGAAGGAGGAGGAGGAGGAGGAGGAGGAGGAGGAGGAGGAGGAGGAGAAGGATGAGGATGAGTAGGAGGAGGAGCAGGGGGGGGAGGAGGAGAATCATGAGCGCCATTCCCCTGGCAGGGCAGTCCTCCCGGGAGTTCCGAGGGACGCGGGCCCCGGAGGTCCGTCGCCGTGCTCGGGCCCCCGGGGCCCTCCACTCGGGGGTGCCCCCGTCCAGGAAACGGCGGATCTGTTACCGTCGGGCCTCGTGCCGATCTGCGTGCGCGGAACCGCCCCCTGAGCCAGCTCCCCCTCCCACCCACCCCTCCCCCGTATCGCTGCCCCTCACACGCAGGAGCCCTGGTATCGCTCGGACGTGTGCACTTCTTTTTCTCGGCGGGGATTGGTAAGTCAGGAGGGGGAGAACACACACAGACACCATAATCGTCGATTCCCCAGAAAGTATGGGAAAACTCGGGAAGTGGGGGGGGAAGACAGAACCCCAGAACATATGGGAAAATATGGGGAATCTGGTTATTTGTGTCTATTCATTCCCGTATCCCAGTTCCCTCTCATTTTTCTCGGCGAGGATTATTCCCCACATGCTTCGTGGGGTTCTTGTTTTCTTCTCTGCCGCGTCCCACCCGCGCTCACTCACTCACCTCCCTCTTCCCCTCCTCCTGAGAGCACTGCTCAGCACAGCTCAGCTCAGCTCAGCACAGCACAGCTTAGCACAGCTAAGCTCAGCTCAGCTCAGCACAGCACAGCTCAGCGCAGCACAGCACAGCAATCGCCTGCCCGCCGGTACAGCAAAGCGCAGCACAGCACAGCACAGCACAGCACAGCACAGCACCGCACAGCTTACCCAAAACGTATGCACCACATACTTGGCACCCACATGAGGCACACGTCCAGATACGGCCGCACACGCATCATACACATACACATGCCACGCCATACACAACACGCACGTGTAGTATCGCAGGGCACGGCAGGCATGGCACTTTCTCGACACCAGAGGGAGTGCGTTGGGGGTGGTCCCTGAGCGCCTGCGTTACAGGCGATCTGTGCGTGGCGCTTTCTCGACACCATATGGGGGTGCGCAGGGGGTGGTCCCTCACCGCGGTCTCTATCCGTCCAAGGTCGCGGGGTGTGGCGGGCGTGGCACTTTCTCGACACCACAGGGGGTGCGCAGGGGGTGGTCCCTCACCGCGGTCTCTATCCGTCCCAGGGTCGCGGGGCGTGGCACGCGTGGCACTTTCTCGACACCAAAGGGGGTGCGTTGGGGGTGTGGCCCCTCACTGCGGTCTGTATCCGTCCCAGGGTCGCGGGGCGTGGCGGGCGTGGCACTTCCTCCACACCATAGGGTTGCGCAGGGGGTGGTCCCTCACCGCGGTCTCTATCCGTCCCAGGATCGCGGGGCGTGGCGGGCGTGGCGCTTTCTCCACGCCGCACGGGGTGCGCAGGGGCCTTGTCCCTCACCGCGGTCTGTATCCGTCCCAGGGTGGCGGGGCGTGGCAGGCGTGGCACTTTCTCGACCCCAGAGGGGGTGCGTAGGGGGGGGTCGCGGGGCGAGGCGGGCGGAGCGCTTTCTCGACACCATAGGGGGTGCGCAGGGGGTGGTCCCTCACTGCGGTCTGTATCCGTCCCAGGGTCGCGGGGCGTGGCGGGCGTGGCACTTCCTCCACGCCACAGGGGGTGCGCAGGGGGTGGTCCCTCACCGCGGTCTGTATCCGTCCCAGGGTCGCGGGGCGTGGCGGGCGTGGCACCTTCTCCACGCCACAGGGGGTGCGCAGGGGGTGGTCCCTCACCGCGGTCTCTATCCGTCCCAGGGTCGCGGGGCGTGGCAGGCGTGGCACTTTCTCGACCCCAGAGGGGGTGCGTTGGGGGTGGCCCCTCACTGCGGTCTGTATCCGTCCCAGGGTCGCGGGGCGTGGCGGGCGTGGCATTTCTCTCCAAACCACACGGGGTACGCAGGGGGTGGTCCCTCACCGCGGTCTCTATCCGTCCCAGGGTCGCGGGGCGTGGCGGGCGTGGCATTTCTCCACACCATGGGGGTGCGCAGGGGGTGGTCCCTCAGCGCGGCCGCTATGCACGACGGTCGTCCAGTGCATAACAGGCGTGGCATTTTCTCGACACCATAGGGGGTGCGCAGGGGGTGGTCCCTCACCGCGGCCGCACTTTCTCGACCACACAGGGGGTGCGCAGGGGTTGGTCCGTCACCGCGGCCGCTATGCACGACGGTCGTCCAGGGCGTAGCAGGCGTGGCACTTTCTTGACACCATAGGGGGTGCGCAGGGGGCGGTCCCTCACCGCGGCCGCTATGCACGACGGTCGTCCAGGGCATAGCAGGCGTGGCACTTTCTTGGCACCAAAGGGGTGCGCAGGGGGGGATCCCTCACCGCGGCCGCTATGCACGACGGTCGTCCAGGGCATAGCAGGCGTGGCACTCTCTTGGCACCAAAGGGGTGCGCATGGGGGGATCCCTCACCGCGGCCGCTATGCACGACGGTCGTCCAGGGCATAGCAGGCGTGGCACTTTTTCTACACTTTAGGGGGTGCGCAGGGGGTGGTCCCTCACGCAAGCAAACACAAAAGATTTAGATTAAGTATGTGGGGTTTCTCGGTAGCGTAATTCAGGAGCATCCTGGATCATCCCGCGAAACAGATCCACGCACGACTTTGGCAACAACAAAAAAAAAAACAGGGAACGGACGTCCGAGCGGTGGCCAGGAGCGGGGTCCGAGGCACTGAGGGTGGTCGAGGTCGGTCGCTACTCCGTGGCCCTCGGGGCCCTCCACGGGCACAGGGGCAGCCCAGGGACCGCCTGCAAAAGGTCGGGGGGGGGACAGAGACACACAGCCACAATGAGTCGCCGATCCCCAGGGAAAACATGGGAACCTATGGGAAGCGGGGGGGAAGAAAGGAACACGGGAAATATGGGAAAATATGGGGAATCCTGTTATTTAATCGCTTCGCTCATTCCGCCGGCCCTGGAGCGCTATTTGGGGCCTCTTGGGGCCGTCTTGGGGGCCTCTTGGGTGCTTCTTGGGAGCGTCTTGGGCTCCCCTGGGGCCTCTTAGGGGGTTCTTGGGGGCCCCTTGGGGCGGGAGGGGGAGGTAGTCGATTGCAGCCACCCCCTCGGAGGCCACGATCCTTGTGAGGGGTGGCGAAAAATAGCTTCCCCCCTGGGGATCGCCCGGGACCCGGCTGGGGATCGGCCTGGGTAGTTTTCGTCCGGGGGCTCCCAGGGGCCGCCCCGCGCGCGCGAACTAGACATCTTGTTTAAGTAGTCACCGGAGATCTTAGCACGCCTCTGGCCCGTGGGGCCGGCGAATTTGTGTGTGTGTGTGTGTGTGTGTGTGTTTGTCTGTGTGTCCCAGGGCCCCTTCAGAAGTGCCGAACACATCAGGACGGACGTTCTCAGTATTCTCCGACGTCCAGGGGCCGTCCCTGGAGCCTGGGAACGGCACAGAACACGCCTGACACGAAGCACTGGTCCCCGGGTTGTGGTCGAGCGGTTCGGGAATCCCGTATGGACAGATCAAGATATCGGAGAATTGCGTTTCGAGACTCGATTGTGTATTTGCCCCGATGAACCATCAACATGACGGACGTTTAGTCACAGCTTTTTGTTTTGGGGGTCTTTGCTGGGCCGTGGAAAGGGCAAGATAAAGCAGGTTTTCGGGAAGGCGTCGGGATAGCCCGTTTTGAGAGAGTCGCGGCGTCGCAGGTTTAGTGGCGGGTTTGGGGGGGACGGCCAGGGTGCGTCGGCAGGAGAGGGAACGCAGGGACGCCATCGATTCCGTCCTCGCTTGATCGGTAGGTAGACTGGTTTTCTTGTCGGTTGGCTGGCTGGCAGCTCCGTGGATTGGGTTCTGTTGTCTCAGGCCATGGTTGGCAGTGGATCTGGGCCTGCGTGCCCGGAGCAGCGACCACTCTGGGCCCTTTGGGCGTTGCGTAATGGGGGGGTCATAAATGGGGGGGCGGCGAGGGTGGTCCGAAAAGGTACCCAAACGGTACCTAAACGAGCCCCCTGGGGCTCCAGAGGGGCCCGAAAGGGGCACGAAAGGGGACCGTTTCTGACCCCCCCATTTGTGACCCCCCCATGAAGCCACGCCCAAGGCCCTCGGACTGTACGCAGACGCTTCCCGCCGAGGCCAGGCGGCTTCACGCGCCATCCCAGGGCCCCGCGCGAGGCACGCAACGCCTCCACAAGGCGCCCCCATCGCCACGGCCCGGCCCCGGAGGGGGGGGCGGTCGTGGCACACAGCTGCCCCTTCCGAGTCCCACCTCGCTCCTTCCCCTCGCTCTCCCCCCCGCGCCGCGAGCTATACACTCCGTGGATCCCGCGGAGGGCTCGGGCCCTTCCCCTGGGCCGCCTTCTCATCCAGAGTCTTCTCTTGACGCTGAGGCAGCCGGGAGCGTGCCCCCAATTCCCGATCACGGCACCCTTGACCAGGGACGTTGCAAGCCAAAACATTGCCTGATCCAGCGGGAGGTAGCGACGAACGGAGAATGGGGTCGCTCCACGGCTGCAGTTCCCCCCGAGGTGCCCATGGTCCCGGTATTATTTCAAGCAGTCTCCGTTCGCGGGGCCCTGGCCCGAACCTCCCGTCGCCCTCCCTCTCTCGTTCTCGCTCTCGCAGCCGCCCGCTCGAGCGCCTGCGCGCGCGCGCGCGAACCCTCCCCCTTTCCAGGTACTCGCTCACGGTGCTCACCAGCGACAGCAGGCGCGTTCAGCCGCTCTCAGCACGCCCCCCCCCCGCCTACGAGAGGTGGCCACAGGTCGGGTTCGCGCCGCCCTGGGGCGCGGCGGCGGCGCCCGGTGCGGTCGCTGAGGGCCTGGGCTTCCCGAGGCTACAACACATCACATCGGGCCCGGGGTGCTTCCCCACTTTGGGCAACGCCCTGGTCGGTGGATCCTCGTGTCGAGTTCCGCGCCGTCCAGGATTTCCACGTCCGCGCTGTGCACGCGATTTGGCACGCCCGTGCAGGGACTTCACGATCTGAGCGTGTTCTCCTTCCCCTCCGCGCGCTATCCCTCTTCCCGCTTCCTGCCGTGCCCAAGTCGGCAACGTGCTTCCCACGGCTGCCTGCGAGCGCGATGTGGACTCGCCGCTGCGACAAACAAGCTGTTCCATTGGGTGCCGCTTTCCTGCGACCGCTTGCGAACCCTTCCTCGGAAACTGGAACATATACATTACCAGTGGCGGCTTTTCAATCCCACGACTTTTTGAGGGTCGGGGGCGACGTCAGGGTGGTCTGGTGTATACTTGTTCCCCGTTGTCGCTGGGAAACAACGAAACATGTATACACCAGGATCCCGTATACACCAGGATCCGCTTTCTTGTGCGGAAAAAGCGTCGGTGTATAGAGTTCGTTTCCCTACTTCCCCTGCGTGTCCATTCGAAGTTGGGGCGTCGGACACGCCCCGCCCGGTTTCACTTGGCTGCAGACATCCTTCAGCTTCTGACCCCCAGCCGCGCAGGGGTCGGATTTCACGTGTGGTCGCCTTCTCTTCTGGCCCCACGGCCGTCGGATTACGAATAGGGATGAGAAGCCAAACTGGGGAAAGGGTCGAAGTGTCGGGCTGGCTAAGGCGTTGAGGTCCAAGGCGTGAAACGCCGTTGGTTGCCGTGAGTCGGCCGACATCCAGTGAGTTTCCGAGGCAAACATGCAACATATACAGCGCCTAGGGGACCGCCGAGCAATGGATATGGAAATTCTCTGTCCCCACTGGGGTGGGGCTAAACATAAAAGGTATCCATATCCATTGCCTTCTGCGGCAATGCGACATCACTTCCCAGGCGACGGATCTGCATAAGTTCTAGACGCTCTGCCAGCCCATCCAGAGACGACGCCCAGGGGTTTTGAGTTGCAGTTGTTAGGGAAGAGCTAGTAGCTTGCAGTGGAACGAACGGCAGCCGTTCAGACAAGCTCTGACTCAGCATGAAAACAGACCATGCAGTGAACCACATATGCCTTTGCGGACCTAACAAATGTGGAGGAGGCGGGGGATGAAGGAGGACGGGTGAGGACGCAGGATGACGGCGAGGCGGAGCAGGAGGATGAGCAAGAAAAGGAGGATGAGGAGCGAGGAGGAGGAGCGAGGAGGAGGAGGAGGAGGAGTAGAACGGCCAGCAAAAAGAACATGCGTTTGGAAGCACCGTTCCCACTCGACGTTTGGTGAACCTTAGGTTGAATAATGGGGAGGAGGCAGATGGGGACGAGCAGGAGAAGGAAGGGGAGGATGATAGGGTAGGAAATGGAGGAAGGATGAGGGGGTGGTTGAGGCTGGATGAGGAGGAGAAGGCTAGGGAGGAATATGGCGACGACGACGACGATACAGCCATAAATGCCTGTGCGGATGTTGGGGGGCTCTGTGGGCCGTCTTGGGGCCTTCGTGGGCCCCTCTGTCTGAGGAAGGGGGAACGCACAGTGTTGTCGCAATCGCCAAGTCGGGCCTGTTCCTCGTCCCTCCACGGGAGGAATGTTCAAAAATAGTCAAAAGAATAGTCTGGGGACGATTGTTTCTGGTATTTTTGACCATGTTGGATGGTTTTTTAATTGTTGCCGTCCAAAATCCCCCTGTATGGGGATAGGTCCGACCTAAAGCGAGCGTCTTTCCCGTTGCCCCCCTTGCGATTTCGACAACCACGCCTTAGCTCTGGCGGCGGATGAGCGGAATACGCCAACGTCGACGCTACCCCCCCCCCCAGTTGCCTTATCCAGCCACCTATTCCTGCCATCTCTAGCCAACCATCCCCAGCACCACCGGCGCCGACCAGCAGTGGCATCACCAACCGCACCATAATCGAGAAAAGTGTGCGATCAGTGGAAATTGACGACCGCATCGAGGAGCCTCCACGCGACGTGCGAAATAACCATTGGGAGACCATTCTAATCATCGAAACTTGCAGGACGCAGTCAAAAGAGTTTTGGTCACAGTGGACGGACACAGTTTCGCAGGTTCTGGGAACGACAAGCGTTGCCATGGAGTCGCAATCCTTGTGCGCAAGCGCTATGGCCGTTACATGTTTGAATATCAGGTCACCAGCGCGAGATTGGCAGCAATGATCACCCAAGAGGGCCGAATTCGATCACAGTCAGTTCCCGCATACTTTCCACACACATGGCACACGGACACACACACATACAAAGTAAGTACGATGTGAGTGGTGCTATGTTCAAGGAAGCCCGTACCCACAACGACGTACCTTTGTCGCGGCAGACCGCAACGCCCAGGTTGGAGTGCAACCTCGACCAGATCGATTAACGGCGGGAGCCCTGGCGACCACCAATCACGTTTCTTCTCATGTTGTGTGATCTCATGGAGAAGGCGACGAGAACTCCAGAGTGCAGTGGTTACGACACTGGGCCAAACTCGAGAGGCTCGCCATCGTGAACATATTCTGTCGCAAACCTCCAGGCAAGCAGGCCACCTGCACGACCGCGGGCAACGCACGATAATACTATTACACGCTGGTCGTTGAGAGTAGGATTGTTTGGATTCCTAGATCCCAGTCTACTTTAGCCGCCTTCCGACTTCAAGAGTCGAGCGGTTTTCCTTCTTTGTTCCTCCTCATGGGGGCGGGCGAAAGCCCAATCTATTTTCAATGCTTTCCTACTTTATATGTCTACCCACTTTTCCCGACCGACGGGTACATCGTGGTAGACAGAAAGCCTACATCATGTATGCACCAATGCCGAGGCCACTAACACCCCGCATTCTCGAATTCAGGCCACGAAGCTGTCGTATTTTATACTCGCTTCCCGACACGAGCACACGGTATAACGACACGCTCCTCACATCAAGCACCGATGTTTGCAGCATTGGGCTCGCATTCATTTGGACGAGTAACAGCCGCATTAGGGCCTTCATTTGTAACCTGGAACGTTACCAACAGACCCACAGGAACTCAGCTACACCATCGAGAAGAGCCTGCGCACCTCCCCAACCCATGCGAATACTGCCGCAGCGGCCAACGCCAAGCACAAGACCAAGCACCATCAGTACGACGACCTCATTGAGGACCTGGTCAAGCAACGTCAAGACCCACATCAGACGCCACCGCCCGGCGAACAATCGGCAAACCTATCCAGACAACCCTTCGCAGGAATAAGCACGCTGACCACATGCAACACATCGGCGCCATTTTGGAGCAGCGCAAAGGCCTCAAACACATCCTCGTCATCAAGACCTGGCGGAAGAAGACGCTAATTTCTAACTGGCGGAGCCGACGGCAGCAAGGTGACGACGAGACACGCGATAGCAGACACATTCGCACATTGTTACGTCATTGGGTACGCTTCTTACAACCGCCGAAACCTATATCATGACCTTCGGCCCATTCCGCCATCGTGCCCGGGTTGTGGGTCGGAGGTTGGGGGGTGAGATCGCACTGGAGCGGAGGGCCCCCCACCGGGAAATCGGTTTCGATTCGTGTTTGTGTCGTGCGTGCGGGCGAGGCGAAATTGCGTGGGCGCGTGGAGCGGTGTTCGCCCCTCCCCCCCCAGCGCGGTGTTGCTGGGGGTGTCTCGTCGGTGGCGCGTCGGTGTTCCGTCGGTAGCGCGGGGTGCCCCGTCGGTGGCGCAGGGTGTCCCAACGCTTGGGCGGGGGGGGCCGTCGGCGGCGCTGGGTGCCCCGTCGGTTGCGCGGGGTGTCCCGACGGTGGTTCAGGGTGTCCCGCCGTGGTGTCTCGATTGTAGCTCGTGAGATCAGTTGTGCAATCGAAATCGATTGTGAGATCGATTGCGTGACCGATCGTGATCGTGACACCGATCGTGAGGTCGAGGCATCGGTAGTGGGATCGATGGTGATATCGGTAGCGAGATCGTTCACCACAGATTTTTGGTTGGGGGTGCCCCGCCGTGGCTGGGGGTGCCCCGTCGAGGTGTCCCGATGGTGTCTCGTGCGGTTTCTTGTGAGGTCGATCGTGCGATCTCCTGTGAGAGAGATACTGAGACCGACATTGAGATCGATAGTGTGATCGATATCTGGAACGATAGTGAGATCGATGTTGGGATCGATGTTGTATTGTGTTGTGAGATCGAATTCGGGTTGTGGTGTCTGATCGGCAATAAGATCGATAGTGGGATATGTTGCGATATCCATCGTGTAGTCGACAGTGATATCGGTCACACCATATCTCTCTATCGATTGGTTGCCGTGTCGACCAGCCTTGCAGGAAAAGGAATTGCGAGCCATCATTGCTATGATCCGCCATCGCTGCCAGTTGTCTGTCATACTGGCCTGGTGAACCTCGTGACCATATTGTCCGGAGTGGTGGCCTTTATTTTGACCGATGGTGTTCCGATGATGTTCCGATGTTGCCCCGTTGGTGTCCCGATCGTCTTGAAAGCCCATCCCTGTGATTTGTTGCATGAGATATGGTACGAGATCGCCAGTTGGATCGAGAGGAGATATACTATGAGAGCGATAGCCCAGGTGATAGTGATACCGATCGTGAGATCTATGTTCAGGTCGGCAATGGAAACGACCGCGCAACCGTTTGTGTGAGCTTCATCGCGATTCGTTATCATTACAAACACCACTATGCATTCTCACCACCGGAGTCATCGTGCAATGTGGCCATCTCATCGCCATCACAATCATCGCAGTTGTTGCCACTGGGTGTTCCTCCCACCCTCCCTCCTTCCTTCTCACCCGAAGCGTGGTCGTCTAGGTACGAAGTCTATTGGATGATCGTTGGGATTTCGTGGGCGACCT